ATCAGCAGATTTGGTAGTGGTCACAAATGTGAATCGCTCAGATCTGTAGAACAGCAACATGCATTATTTTGGCAGCTCGAGAATTAAGCATGAGTTTAGATACTGAAAGTGTGATTTAAAAAATTGACTTTATAAAAAATTTTAAAAAAAACAAACTAAAACAATAATGACTGTACAGTTTTAGCTTGTAAAAGAAATAGTGCTTTCGCTCCTAACATCTACAAGCCTGCTCAGTTTCTTGTCAAGATGCTATCCCATGGGCCATACACAAGTTCACCAGACATCCTACAGGTCACCATATTCAACAGGTTCTAATCCTTCTAGCCACTTCTCTCTGAAATGTCACTTATATACTTCACGATAATCCTTCTACCTAATTACTATTATACTCTATTTTATCTCAACTTCCTAGGCCTTTAGTAAAGCTGAAATTTACTCTTTTGCTTTTCTTTTTTCTCATTCACACTCTTCTCTCGCATAAAGTTCGGTTGGTCTGATGGTAAAAAAAACATAACAACACCACTCATGTTTGAGAATAACTTTATTTTCATAGAAAACGTCATAGTTTTCTACGGTAAGACCAATATGGTTAGCATCATACATTGCAAATGTGCACTATCATATCAAGTACTGTATAGCTTATTCTTGTATTTTTCTTGTAAATACACTACCAATAATGTATTATTCATGATTGCATTTTATACCACTTTGTAGCTGTGCAGGATTTTCTCCTCTTCCTGAAATAGCGTTCAAGCACGTGGTTGTCGCTCAACTTCGATGGAAACCTTCGTGGAAGATTTACAAATTAACAATTATAAGAATCTGTTGCGATTGCTTGCACTATATAATTCAATAATTTGAACTTTTAAAAAAGTGATAATCTTACTACAACTACGGGTTGAAAACGAAACGAAGTCGATTCTCCTGCGCCACCTGGAGGACTACTGTTTAATTCAATAATGATACGACATGGGTCAGACAATGAGTATATATATATATCAAATATTTAGCTGTTCAAACATTATTAACTTGTAGACAATCTACTATTTGTCATTATATCATACTTGATTGTGCCTGTAAAAATGGCATGCATTTTCATGTAAATTTATGTTTATATGAAAATATAAATTATTATTATTACCAATCAGCAAACGACGTCAAATTATCCAATGAGATTCACGAACGTGGTTCAGTGTTGTATAGCGCTTGATTCATGTCAGTGCGTGCCCTTACAAGGTTACGCTTGTAATTCGAGGAGGATAGTGTCTTTCAGTATTGCCTGAACTTAGGCTTGCTTCGAAAGGAGAGAAGTTGTTCATGTGATGGTGTTATGACTCTTAAAAGCTATACTAGGTCAACTGATGGTTTTGTACATCGTTGTGGAATATGCTGGAAGCGAGTTAGTATTAGAGAGGGTAATATTTCGTAGGAGATTTTTTTGCTATGTCGCATCTCTCCCTAACCCAGATATTGTACATTTGCAATTACTGGGCACTGAAACAGCCTGTGAGAGACGCTGCTGCCGAGATGGAAAACAGCCTCTTCTCAACAGTTCAGTGGTATACCACTGGTATACCAGCACTGCAGGGACATCGCCTCATGGAAAATGGACAGAATTACTTCGTTGTTAGGCGGGGACGACGTAGTAGTCCATGTGGATGAGACAGTGTTGGTGAAGAAGAAATATAACTGCTGTCGTCAGAGAGGAAACAACATTTGAGACATAGGTTTATACGACACGTCCCTCCGAAAAGGATTTGTTGAAGGAATAGCAGTGATTTCGTGGATCCAGTTCAGGGACTCATATAAATTCCATTGAAGGATTTTATGGTCGATTGAAAAATAGAATAAGGGCTATAAATGGATCTCAAAAGGATCTCATTTATGGTCATTTAGATGAATATATGCATAGAATGTGTTGCGACTTCTCTATTGACAGTCCCATGCTGAATTGGGATGTGTTTCTCTCCCATTTTCGGGAAAAATACCCACTGTAACCTTTTTATCATTTTTTTATGCATTTTTCTATAAATATACGTTTCCGCTTATCATAAACGCCTCTTTCATGTGATTGGCCCGTTCAAGGTCATTTGCTGATTGGTTGTTACTGGTGTCGAGAGTTTAATTTTGCCTTACTACCAATCAAATCAAGTGAAAATCAAGTGAAAAACAATGGAACTATATAAATGAATTTAGGAAGTCGTGTGATTACCTTGATATGATTACGAGGAATAAATTGTGCTCGAAACGTCATCAGTAAACATTGCTGTATAACACTGTGAGACTTCATCAAAACAAAATTTATCCATAATGGAATTACACTGTACCACAGTGCAGAAGTTTTATTTTTATATCAAGAATACCTTAGAGTTAAATGGGAAGGTAATGAAGGGCTCTAATGACTTTTATTGGTACTCATCGAGGCAGTTTAGTGCTTTTCAGGTTGCCTGACATCAGGCGAAATACTGGACTTAGAATTGGAAGCCTCGTCAAGCTTCATTGATATAAGAATTGAACATGTACAGTTTGTTAGAGTGTAATTGCATTATGGTCAAAATTTATTTTGATAAAGTTTCACAATGTTATACAGCTATTTTTACTGATATAGTTAATACTACTGTATAGTGTCAGGCTTCATTTTTGGGTCAATACGTGAGGGGTTACTTTTACTGTTAAGAGTGCGAAGTGTGTTGATATAAATTAAATAAATAAATTTATTCTCATAGTACAGTACATGAGGGACGCCAGTTTACAGGCATCATCAAATTGTTACAGAAATAGAACCATGTAATTCAATCACAATCTACAGGCAGTAGCAAGATATGCTTTACATGTTCGCTGGAGATTATACATAAACTTGATAAATGTTAATCCCAGTAGTATAAAACAGCCTTTTCACTTACATACAATCATTTCTGTGCACAGTTGGAAAAATCCGCTAGATTGTCAGTGAGTGCAACACATCAGGAAATACAGAAGTATTGTCTTCGCATTAACAAAAAAATTGGGCCGACAATATGTTTTGGTGACCAATATCACCTGCTGGGATACTTTGCTTGACACGAATTAGGACCGGTGTCCTTTCACATATTGCGTATATTTTCAAAACCACCCACTCTCCTAAAGTTGCTGGTTACTGACAAAGCAGCTTGCATCCAAATTGCTGCTGAGGTCGAACATTATTGGACGGAATTTGTCAATTGAGGATTTCCGCAATCGTTTGCAGGTACAGTGGCAATCAGGTATTTCAAATGTTTTTAGAGGTGTATTTTTCAATGTTTTAATGTTGACATTATCGGGCACATTGAAAACGATTGTACTATACATGCACAGAACACACCATATATCTTCCATGGAAATTCAATCACTAATTCTCCCGCAAGGCTGAAATGTATCGTAGTCAGTATAGTCAGTAGGCTCAGTCAGATGCCTTAGAGGTAAAGAGATCAGGGACTATTGGAATAATGTCACTTTTTTCTAGCTCATTGGCTTAGGTGGATGTGTGTTCCGTAGATGACTCTTGTATTTATTTTATTCCTTCGCGTTACCAGTAGAACATACGGCTTCAGGATAGAGCTTTAAAGTTTTGGTAGAAATGGCCTTATTTTTACAGGGTATGCTTGCTAGTCTCAGACCCATCTCTCACTCTTTGCCAGGCTTATTACCAGCTAAACGACGTTCGGTTGTGCGTCGGCCGGGGACCGAACCCCAGACAACCTGAGTATCTGGCGAGCATTCTACTCTCGCGTCACCATCGCGCGAGTAGATAGTGAGCCATTTGAGTATTCTACGTTGGCATTAGGTTTGTGTCCATCTGTCGTCGGTGACTGATGGAGATTTTTACAGTGAAGTACTTTATGGGTTATACGAGCGGCTGTGCCACAGTTTACCTTCTGTACTGTCACACGTGTATTCTACATAACAGCACAGATTTGAGTAGAACCAGATGATAGTTTAGAGGCTGAGGGTGTTGACGTCGACGGAGTACGCAGTATACTGACGCAAAATCTAATAACCGCAACTTCTATAGTATTCGTTACGCGTAGACCGAGGGCAAAGCAAAACACCAAAGTGATCGTCAAACTAGGAAGTATATTTCAGGACAAAATTGTAGGGTGAAGTTGATTGATTAACTAGCTAGGGATCGTGAACGAACAAAGGTAACGCGACGGCGTGCCAAATGGCGTGTATGCTTGACCGTGAGATTTCTGCCTAACAAACTGACTTAGGCAGTGAGAGTGAGCATCCAGTGTTCAATGATTACTGCTGTGGCCAAATAATTTTGTGGAATTACGTAGCACTACAATAACAAATCTCTCCGTGTATAGCAAGGACTACTTAAGTTAAATTCTTTGGTTACAGAGCACTTAGTTATCAATTCTTTTGACGCAGCTTAAATAATTCGTATCAGCAGAGACAGATGATAGTAAGTATGGGCTTTTGAGTGATAGTTCCGTACAGGGTATTTTGTTAGTGTGGATTCAACCACATCAGAATCGCTGATTTCTGAGAAAAAGGGGTTAAAATGGTAGACCGTTCAGCTCATGAGTGCATGGAGATAACCATACGGAAGGTGAGGTATCCTGGGTGTCTGAAGAGGACAGACTGATCGACATTAGTTTGATTGGTAGCATTACTGTCGGGTGTCAAGTTAACGGGGCTCCTATCTTTAAGCCTTCATTTTACGGTTAAAATTAATTTTTCTACAAGGTATGTCCGTTTATTATGGGTAAATCAACGCATTTTACAGGGAAGTGGTAGTGTTTCTAAATAATAGCTACCCAGTCGTTCGACCCAAGTCAACAGACGCAATGACCTTGATCAGCCAATCAGATGAGCCTGCAAGGAGGGCGCTTAATTTAAAAAACTTTTTATTGACTAGAGGTGATGTTGAAATGTAGTGACGGAGTGAATTCTTCGTCTGTCTCCCAAAAAGACGTTCTGCACATGTATGCTTCCGAAGAACTGTATAACATGCTGCTCTACAACACCCATGAACCATGTGTCTATACACATTATTTGCTGCCAATCTGTTCAGCAGTCGGAATATTAAGTCAGTGAGTGAGAATTAAGGCGACTTATCCAGCAATTATCCAACTGTGATCTGTCTGTAGTCGTATTCTGTATATTTTTGCTAGAGGTGGTGTTAAGGGTTGTGTGTGATGTTAAAGGTCGTTAGGTTAGGTCATTTTACCTCCCTTCGACATTTTCCTTTGACAACGACTTTCATGTATTAAACAAGACTAAGATATAGCGACCCAGACAAACAATAAACCAAATGATTGTGAACGACTCTGCAGAAATACTCACAGCAATCATTTCTATGATTTCACTTAAAAAAGTGGTTTGGAGTACCGCCAACCCCATCGATGGACAGCAGTACAGCCCTAGTAAGTATAAGAGATTGTAATCATGTGTAATTATTTTGTCTCAGGCAACATGGTTTCTATATAGTTTTCTATCCAAGCAACGTCTTGATTGCTAAAGGTCATTCAGTTGGTCGTTTCTTCGGTACGCTGTAATTAGGTCTAGCCATTTACTGATATAAGTATAATTCTTGGGCACTGTGGTAGAGTATAACTTCATTATAGACAAGATTTTATTTTGATAAATCACAGTGTTATACAGTAACAGTAATGAAACGTCATCAGTTAATATTACTGTATAACTGTGATTTATCAAAATAAAATCTTATCTAGCCGTTTACTGTTATGTTTAGTGGAATTAGTTACATGGTTTAACAATCTGTTTTTGATACCACGTACTTCCCTTCTGATTGTCTAAATAACATATCTGGACATCTCAACCAACTTTTTTGATTTAGGTGATGAATTTGAGTTGATAATTGATTTACAAGCAGGTGATTAGCTGTGAAAATTCATTCAAATTGGATCCTAGTTTCTATTTAAAAGCCTGGAAAAATACTAAGGCGCTACGCTCAACCAAACTGTAGGTATATAGTGACAAGTATTCAAGCCACCCAGTGCATTTATTTTTCACCATCAAAAACTGCAAAATCCCGTTCGAATTCTCGTGGGCATCTACCGCGAGACTAAAAGGAGTGATGAAGTTCCAATAGTTTACTGGATGCCTTTGATTCATTATGTTGACAATTTTCCTTTAATCGGCCTACAGTTTTAGGCAAAGATGGTCGCAAGCGTGATGAGTGTTTGCGGGACTACTTGGCTTTAAACAGGATTAGTAGGTGATGATGCTGAGCAAGATATTTGTACAAATGTGTCTAAACAGCTAATTTTGTGCTCGCTTCGCAGATTAGGATCGGAAAGTGATTCATCGCGGTAGGTGTGTTTCTGACCTTTATCCTCTTAATGTAAGCTGATTCCGAAAATGAGTTGGGATTAATGGTATTTCCTCCTGAGACGAGCTATCGTGTAACAATGTATTGGTTCTGCCGAAAAATTACCGGTAGCAAAGTAGCACAGAGTTATTCTGTGCCACAGCTTCGAAATAGTTGTGAGACTAATAAATTCCATTTGGAACACGACGCCTCTAGTCTTTTGGTGACACAGCATGTGAAGCTCTTCTTAACTTAAGTGTATTATACATTCTATAAAAAATTAAAATAGTTGGCAATTCTACAATGTTGTCCTTTGGTCTGAATAAGCCTATACGCCTTTGTCATACGACATCTGCGCCGGCTGGGAGAGGTCCTGATGGTGCACTATAACCAGTTGAAGCCCATGCATCACTTAATCATATTGACCTCTCATACTGCTGTGTGTAATGTTCCAGCAGATAGATGACTGACTTGTCCGATTCGACAGTGCCCTCTTTTTAAGGGAGGATAGTTGTAACACTTGCCAAAGTGATATGTACTCTTTATAATTGCCATATAACTGTATTTTTCTTATGTTGTAGATACGGGCCATGTCAATGTAAGTCGACCAACTATCGGACAATGTAAAGGAACCAAACACAAATGACTAAACTTTAAACTACTCGCCTAAAATCTGTAACTCTGTTATAATAATACACTACTCACTTCCGAACTCCGTGTTCTTCCTCTTGTGTTCCAGTATGCTCGTGTTGGTTGATTGGTTAGTGTGTGCTGTTTTCTTTTTTAAAGGTCACGCTGTTCTTCGATCTCTAGTCCTTAAAACGGTGCAGCCAACAAAGTTATAGCAATGGGTCCTAGCCTTCATAAAAGCTAGACACATTTTTCGAATGAATTTGCCACATATAGATGTTGTAGATTAGTTTGAGTTAAGCGTGTGTACTACAGATACAGGTTTGTTTTCATCAGTAACCTCTCCTTCCGGTCATGCCTTTTTGTGAAGTTTTCTTCAGTGATAACCAACACTATAGTATGAAGCTTATACTACAAAGTATAGTGGACATATGGTTAGTGTATTTCAAGCTGGAAGGCACATTGTTAATGCTCCTTTTCGGATTCACGTCTTTGAGAAAAAAATAGGTGATCTTAGGCGTGTGCATGTCGGTGGATCAGGTTTCAAATCAGGGGTTTACCCAATAAACCAAATCGGTTCACGGTGAATAAACAAGATCCAAGTCATTTTAGCGTAAGCCTTTCAACTCAAATAGGAAGTAATGCAGATATATTGTCAAGATAATGTCAGCGGTACTTCGGCGCTTATATCTCTGCATGTACACGTACCAGGAAGCCCATTCGACGTAAATGTAAAAGCTAAAGTTAATAATAAAACAAGTCTTGTGTATATGAACCACATTCAGAGAGTGAACAGCAGATCATTATTGAATATAATGGTCAAGAGATACCGAATTTAAAGATGTTTCAATTTAAAGTATGGTAATGTCCACGTATCGAATAGCCCATACTTTGCTGAAATCAGCAGGGAACTTTGACTGAAGATGTTAGAGCTAATCATCAGATGACAAGGAGCTTCGAAGGTCAAACATGACGGAAGGTACTAGGGAAGTAGAAATCGATAGCGATGAGAGCCACGATGGTTCTTCGGCTGTGCTGTATCGTGTTACTATGCCGGGGACGTATACTTTTCCACTTGAATTCAATGATGAACACATCTTCTGTCCATCTTTTTTCGTGTTCAGGTTTCCCATTCTTCACAAATCGGATGTCTAACATCATACGACGTGGTAACGCATTCTAAACTGATGTATACACTGCATAACTGTTGATATTGCCTTACTTATCCACCTATACTGTTGTAATTGTTGAGCATGCAAATGTAATAGATCAAATGTCTAACTCCTTTAATGAACTTGACACAAATGAATGAACTATAATCCTGCATTTTAACTAACACCTCAGGTCTGTACTTTATCGTTAAAAAAAATTCTTAACTTGCAGATTATCTTCACCTTTCTTATTGAGTGTTTCTTTTTCTGTTTTATAGGTGGAACTGTCCATTGATTTCTAAACAGGCTTACAACGTTACCTGATGAATTTTGAAAATGAGTGATTTTACGAAGAGTCTTTCCTCGATAAGTTCTCCTGATCTTTCTAGTTTGGAGGGCTCTTTGATATCCGAGGAAGACAGGATTGATTCCGATATTGAGGCGGACATACTTCAAGCTACTATCGGTATGCCATCATACTTGAACTTATAAACTTTTCAGATGAGGGTGCTACTCTGAGGACATGCTCTCCAGCCTCTCTACAATCTGTTCAGTCATCCAAACAATCTAGCACTTCAGTGTTTATTCGAAAGGCTCTCCTATCATCTGTATCCAGTCAACTTAGGAACGCTGTACTAAAAGGCACCGTTGGAGACCCCTCATGTATAGTAAGTTTCCTGATTTTAATATGAAAACGTTTCCGAACACGATACATGTTAAAAGTGGAAGTTCTAGCTGTAGATGTTCTGCAGATTACAGGTTTAAATAAGTGATTCATCTTAAGTAAATTCGCTCTCAGGTTTTGGGACTGTGTGCTGTTTCATTTCATCCACAGGTAATGAGTAGTTGAGTACCTACTTTATATATTTCAGTCAGGAAACATTCTCTTACTGTTTCCAAAGTATTTTCTATCGTGTGAGTAGTTTCTTATGAAGTTACTTTTAAACCGTTTTCCTTGTGACCGACTTGGCTGCTTACCGTCACTCAGGACATTAACTAGTAAATGTCATAATGCTGACGTAATTAGGTATTCAGCCAGTCATACAGATAGACCTAATGGCAGCACTTGACTCAGTCGACGATGACTTACTGTAGAAATGTCTGGATGCGAAGGGAGAACAGAAAATTTTTTATTGTATTTGTCAAGAAACTTGACTGAAAATTTTCTAGCCTCATACGAGCTTGTGAAGAGTTAGAATTACCCAGTCACCATTCCTATTCATATTCGCTGTGAATGAACTGATGGATATGAAGGTGGTCGAGATGGGTGTCTCATAATTTGAACACCTTAACCCTGACACTTCGCTATATCGTCCTAGTCTTAAGTGAGTTTTCAGAGGATTAGTATTAGTACACAGAATTTTTTGTCTTTGAGGACTAGATGCATAAGTCACTTTTAGCATTCCATAGTTTCACTCATGTGTCACATTGCCTTTTAAAGTTGTCGTGATTGTCTACTTTAAATTTTGGACAGCATTTTTTCCTTGATTCATGAAATTATACTGAGTAGGCATGATATTTTTATAATTAAAGTCCAACGGTAATTTTAAATAATGTTTGTTCTTCATGTTAAATTCTCAGGTTATAAAGATGTTGATATTCCAATCTATATATTCCTCTTTTAGTCGTTTCGTAAGTATCTGGCGATTGGCACTAGCAAAGGCGTCGTGTTTATTTTCAGTGAGTCCATAGTTTTTTGGTTGTTATCATAGTTGCTAAGTAATTTTTAATGAAACATATATATACTTAATAATAATATAATACATTTATTCGCCTATGGCTCTGAAACATGGCCAATCGAGTTGAAGACATTAAAAAGGTTGACTGTTTTTGATCATAGATGTCTATGATCTCTTTCTCACGTTATATGGTATAATAAGGTAAGTAATGTTGACGTTAGGCGTAGAGTGTTGGGCAAAGAGGGGGAAATCAATCGAAGAGGCTATAAAGTTACATAGATTGAGATGGCTAGGTCACGTGCTGCGCATGCCTAACCATCGCCTCCCCCGACGGGCATTACTAGCTGATATAGGTGCAGGTTGGAAAAGAGTAAGTGATGGCCAAACAAAAACATGGCATCAATCCATGAAATCCTTGACAGTTAAACTGAGTCAGGTAGGGAGATGCAGATTTCCGAGTTGGGGCCCTCGGGACTCTAAGAATCAATGGCTGGAGACAATAGGTGACATGGCTCAAAATCGTTGTCAATGGCGCAGATGTATTTAGTCTCTGTAATCTTTCATATTCCTTCCTACCATTGCTCATTCTGTTTCACTCTTATACTTGTCAAAGCTCTATTGATTCTCTTCACTCATCTTCTTGTCTACCTTTGTTTGCTATCTGAAGCGTGGCAACTCGAACTGCTGCACTTCGGTGCCAAGTTCTATGTTGAATCCAGACACACAGATTCCCCTTAATAAATTTAAACAAAGCAACAACTACAGTTTTTGCAGAATAAAGTGGTACCATCTTTTATTTCGTTGCCTTCTGGTCAACTGCTAACAGGCCGAAGACATTATTAAATATATCTACAAAAACAATTTTAACATCCTTGCCCAGAGTTCATTTCAAACAAAAATCAACCGATCAATATATGCATACAGTAATAATATATACATATCAAGAAACATATGACAAAGAAAGCGGAAAAGGACTACTCATATCTGTAAACAGGAAGTCACTTTACATACGACTGCAATTCAAGGGCGATATACTAAGTGAGATAATTACGACGAAATTAAGAAAATCAGTTCAAAGAACTTTTAATGCTGGCGAACTACACATCTTATTTTCTACACAAACGATGGTGCTACCTCGACTGAAAGATGAAGTACCTAGACTAGCCACTTCAAACTGTAAGAGGAGGGGTTGAGTTATGCCTGAGTGCCTTAGCTTCTTAATGTGTAAAGTCAGACGAAATATTCTCTTAGAAATCGCTAAGACATGGGAAGACTAGGATAGATCAGAAGGAAGAATTAATCCAAGATATTTAACTCCAGATTTGACTTGAAAAACTCAAGTTTCGAAGTCGTGTGATTATAATTGATATGATTATGAATGATAAATTGCGTTCGAAACATTGTCATCCAGTAAATAATACTGTTTCTTCACTGTGTGATATGTCTAATAAACAAACTAACACGAAAAGACTTGATTTATATATCAGCATTATCAATTTTTCAACGGTCATAGGAATTAGCAGCTTCATTTAACTTTCTTTTACATCGGAAACTGAAATTGACAGTCTGACACTTGGAAGGATTTAGTTTAAGACCATTAGACGAAGACTATTTGCTGACTCCTGATAGAAAGCTATTCATCTTAGTACAGTCTAGATGGGAGTTAACAGACATTGAAATAGTTAGATCGTCCGCTTACTTAACAAAGTTCATTTCATCATATATGCATATATAAATATGCATACATTTTTTCACGATCAGTACTCGAATGATATTAAGACAACAAAACATAGTTTGTTTCTGTCCTTTGTGTGTGTACGGGCCTGAAGTCTTACCAAATGAAGTTTGAACGGCCAGGTACTCACACTAGATTCGGCTTACCTCCCTGTCAGTAATTTTCTTTTCGTAAACTTGCTTTCTATTATGGATTTTAAAACAGCGGTTAAATTAATCATGTTGACAGGAAACTCATGGTAGCTGTCAAAGTGTGAAGCAGCTGTGTGATCTAAGGCCCGGTAGCCTATAATTGATGTAATATGGTACAGACTTTTTTCCGTCCACCTAAGAATTGTCCTAATGTTTCTGTAGTTATAGTTTGTGAAAGTGACAAATGAATTGATGCACAGAAATATGCCTGATATTGCTAGTCTAGTTATTCATCATGAGAATTTGTTCATTTACTGCCACTGTAAATAACGAAAAATAGGTGTATTCTAATTAAGTGACCGCTTTGTGATAGAGATGTTGAATAATACAATGAAAAGTCAGTTATTTAAGATTTTCCACTTTCATTGTTTTATAGTCTCCATTTACACTTTGTAATATTTGACAGGGGAAACTCTGAAAGGAGAGGACAATGATTATTCAAGTTGTCCTTTCGGCAGCCTATCAGAATCAGTTTCCTTGCACCGATCATTTTTAATAGAGCTATAGTAATCCACTGTGATTGACTAATTTTTGTCTGCCGATAATCATCACCCTTCACCACTGTTTATACAACAGACCAGATATGATGCCAGGCTAGCTGAGGATATTTATTGCTTTTATACTCACATATGTTTAATTATCGCTCACACACTCAGTGTTATTATTCAAAAGATGGACACGTGACGTATTCTCAATACCCCCTTTCTTATATCTATCTTATTACATTTAAGATTGCTTTTTTGAATTACATAGATTTACACCAAGTTTTGAGACTTTGTTTTGGTAACATAAGTCCGACAAATTCTCCTGAGGCAAAAGCTGGTGAAGGTCAAGGTCCAATAACTGTTATAAGTCAAAACCCGAGTGGCACTTTGTTAATGTCTGTTTACCGCAGTGGTAGAATTGCAGTTTGGCAAATTCCTGCATCACTCTTATCTGACGAATCTGAACAAGAAACAATTAAAGGCCGTCTTTATAATCCAGATGATGAGTCTGACAGCACAGGAAAATCACAGCATGATGACATCAACTCTAGTCAAAGTTCTTTGCAACAAGAAATTTCGATGACCCCAAAAAAGAGAAGTTCAATTTCTTTAACCTATACAAGTAGTTATGGACGCCTTCTATGCGTAATCAATGATGCACACGGCGTTGACCATTCTGTTAGTCTTTGTTCTTTTACCACTGTTTCTTCACTGGCTGCTTGTGTCGACACTGGTGGATCGGTATTTCAACTCAAGTTCACGTAGGTCGAGATGTAACTTTAGTGCAAAAAGCTTTTCTCAATTGTGTATGTTTTATTTCTTTGTTAATTTCTAAATATATGTATTCCTTTTCTCATTTTCATCAGACAGCTGACTCAGTATATTAATTAACCACTGCATAAATTGAATTCTGCCAACCTGATTCCTCGAACATTCTCACTTATTGCTGTCCTAAGCTCATTCAGTTCGACTTTTGAGTCGATTTTAATTCACACAATGAATTTTTCAAGAAATTGTTTGGTTTTCTTTAAAATTCGGTATTTGGTCGTGGATGTTTCATCATAAGTTAATTGGTGGATGGTGACTAGCAGTGGGATCCAGGATGTGCATTTTGTCTTTTTTATGACTCGTCAGCTGGACGTCCCTGCATTCTGCAGTGAGTGATGATGTTGCCGCCGAGGCTCGAACCCAGTTCCCATAGTTTCAAACGCCAAAGCGTTATCCACCAGACCACTTGGGCCAGGAGAGCCAGCTCTTGTGCAAGGGGTCTTATTAATTATTCAATTCAATCTTAGATTTTCCCGTAGATTGATTGGACCGAAGTGCTCGGTCTCCGGTTGACACGTCGGCTTCTTGTGCAGATGAATTGAATTAAATGTCTCATCATAAGGTTTTGTAATATTTGCAGTTCTTATAAGTTGTGTGAATTTAGTGCTCAAAACATCGCCACGCTTTATGTCGAAACCCCCATGAATAAATGTTGAAGCTTAGCAAACACTAAATATTTTCTACTCTCACCCTGATTTACAAATCTCTATTGTTTTAACGATGTATATTCGAATAAATTACTTTTTACTGCACTTAATGTTGACGTTTATGGTTTCAGCTGTCCTTTGAGCTTCCTTGTAGTTAAAAGCCTCATTCAGCATAGTTGCTTGGCTCATAGTCGTTGTACTCGAATAGTTACTGATTCTTCCGACAGTACTACAATGAATGGAATAGAATGTGTTTTGAGTTTCTCTCGCTGGTCACTATTGTACTTGTAATCAAAAGTGCGAGTCTGAAGTTACTCGATACCTGAACATGATACGTGTGAATTTACGTAGCTAACATGATTTGTAGCTGTTTATAAATTGGTGAAAGTCAGTAGTGGGAATGGGGTAATAAAGTCTGTTGGAAGATTACTCCATTAAACTCTGTTTAAATTTTTTTTATTTTTGATTACAGCTTGATTCCACACCGTATTTTCAGTACAAGTATGGAATTTTCAGCTTCGATATCGGTAGCCCAAATTTTGCAGGCCGACCATAGATATCGGGTGTGCGCCGGCAGAGGATCGAACCCCGCACCATGTGCATGGTCGGCGAGAGTCCTAACCACTGTGCCACCGACGCACAAATTCATAAATTCATTTCACCGAACGACTACCTCCGTACCCCTAGTGATTCCTCTTCATTGGTTTTTCGGTTTCATTTGATTCTATAATGTCTCGAAACATATTCATTCGTTTTTGATAGCATTCAATCTGCATCAATTCGCTTCAGAGATTTATTCGCTACACTCATAAAAAAGTTATCTTAAAACAACTACTGGTAAATCATCATGCTGCTCAGCATATTTTAACTGACAATCTACGTGGACAATGTTTAAAGAAACAAGCTGTCATTCTGTCAGTTATACATGATTCTAGAATTGCGTAATTCCACTTATATCCGAAGCATGCGTCTACTTTGTTTCTAATATCGTTTTATTTTCTCCCTTTCTAGGAAAGGATTAGTCGGTATGAAAGTTGAATCCATGTGCTTCTTTTCTGGAAGGTAAGTTTTCAACAAACAATTTATTGATTCAACATTCCACTAGTCGATTACACGTCAGAGTGATAAAGTACGCGAAACGTGTGTGATTTCAGTGGATTATTTTTTCTCTGTTAAATTTGTCTCTCATCTCACATAAAAATGTAGTCGGGATTATTTAACAATTTCAGATTAGTGGAAAAATTGTCTGGCTGTGTTTTTTTAATTGCCGCCAATACACTTGACTTAAACAAGACAAGCGTACCGAAGGGAGCGTAGTAATATGGGCTAACATTTTTATTTCACTGTTTTTCAACTGTTTACAACCTAAACAGCACCAAAATATATAAATTAAGAATTGGGTTGGGACATATCTTTATTAGTCCGTCGGTGGCACAACGGTAGAATGTTCGCCGGTGGTACGGGGTTCAATTCCCGGACCTTGCTAAGTCAGTAATAAGACTGGCAGACAGGGAAGGTCGGGCATGAGGCTAGCAACCCCATCCTGTAAAAACAACACCACTGCAACATAGGTCTTCAAGCATCTAGCTTGGAGACCTATGTTCCGCTGGGTACGTAAAGGAATAAAAAAATATCTTCATCAGGTTCACAATGATTTGTTGATAGGATCTATCAGTAACTGAAGTTTGGTGAGTGCTTGAATTATCAGGCGTTAGAAAAGATTCGTCTAGTTAAATTAAAATCTTTTTGTTTTCATAAGTGTTTAACAATATTTTTACAAATGAATAGGACGTATTTTTGTATATACTGAACGGATTATTTGTATCTGTGTTGCTTCAGTCGCGTCGAAATATGTGCTATGGAGGCTCTTGGATTAAATGCTGTGCGAAGCGATGGACATCGTGATCCGAAACAGTTGGACAATCAGCATAAAGCAGCCAAACTTTCAGTCTTATATTCGTCTGCTCTTCTAGCTATGGCGTCTTTTAACAAGTTGATTATTGTGCAATTGCGTCCTCGTATTCAAGTTGCCTACTGGCAACCATTGAAGGTTAGTTTTCTAGTGGTAAATGCTCACCGACTTACTGTGCAACACCTATTTATTTCACTTTAAGCGGCTGTGGTGTACCTTGGATGGCACTAAAATAAACCTTGGGCTGAAATTAGTAGATCAAATCGAGTCGACTTAATATTAACGAATATAAATGTCTAGCCCACCTGCAGATGCTTTGAGTGTTTTTAAGTTTTCTTTTAACGGGTACGCATCCGGGTAGACTTGGACTCCAATTTACTCTCCTTCTATGTGCTATTCACACGCACAGACTCTGCGTGTCCTGATGTCTTTGGTAACTGGGTATATTACGTGTAGTAAAGATACTATTTTGTAGCTAATCAATAATGCAACCGGTATCATTACATGGTATTCGTTTCGTACTTTCGTGCATAACACACCTGTGGAAGTGAAGATTGCCGGGTGGGATCGCCAGGATTCTAAGAGAACCAATGGCTGGATAGATCTGGTGATATAACTTGAAATCGTTCTCAGTAGCACAGATACGTTCACTCTTTGTGATCTGCTCTATCCATTAACTCCTTGTGTTCTTCCATGTTATTAGTCCTTCTCAGTCACATCTTGGCTCTTTATTGTTCTTTCGAATCTCTTTTTGTCTTCCATTGTGTGTTATATGAAATGTGGCGACTCGGACTGCTGTGCTTCTATGCAAAGTTCTATGTTGAAACCAGTCAGTTATACAGCCTCATAGTCAAAGTTATAGGTTATAATGATGATGATGATGATGGTGGTGGTGATTAAACTTAGCTAACCAGGTTTGTTGGATAGTTAATTGACTTCTGGTCATTTTACGCATACGCTCACATATGTGAGTGAATATGTTCACTATTTATTGGAATAATGCTGAACGTTTTGTATTTTGTATACATTTTCTTATCAAATACAATGTATCAAGCTAATCTTAAACATTATCATCACATTTTCATTATGTTGTTTCATATTTTTCTTTAAAAGTTAGCAGTCTTGAATTTATTAAATTTCAGGGGCCACCTGCACTTCTCCCCTACTTGAATTGGTACTGGTGTACTGATTCTGTAGACAAAGCATTTATTGCTTTTGGACGGGGATCAGGAATTCAAATTATGCAAGTGTCTAGAGTTTCTGGATCAAATAACACTTCAGTGGATTCTTTACAAGTGACAGAGCCCAATTTTCCAGACAGTTCTACTCTTCTGCGTTCAACTGTTTGCAAAAACAACGAGAATCAACTTGACTTCAAATTGTTGTATTCCTTTAGTTTTGAGCAAAATTTCCTCAATCTGAAGGTAACTGAAGTCTTTTTTAACGTTAGAAAGGCAAACCATTTGTTTTCTACTGCAAATTTTAAAGTAGATATACGCAAACAGTGGAAAATTTGGAAGCAAAGCAATAATTTAGTGAATTCATGCATTTCGCTACAACTGGTTAGCCGAATACTCTGCACATTTCTATACTGTATGGTGTGATAATGCGGAAAATGCAAATGATGATGAATAGGCTGTTGCAACAATTCTGTAGGGTAGGCAAATTTCAAGTCAAGCAGAGATGTCAGAAATTCATCCGACAAGGTTTGGTCAATGACAGTAAGAATTGTGAAAACAGTTTTTGTCCACTGAATAAAATGGTGAACAATATTGAAGAGCTGGTTAGATACTTGTAATGAATTGGTTCAACAGACCAAAAGCGATAAGATAAAACAAAGAAATGAATCAAAGCAGAAGCACACTGAAAACCTTCAGTAGTTAGAAAGTTTTTGCTCAGTTTATCCTGGAGAACGATTTTTGAATAATTGTTGTACCATTAACATTTGATCACCAGCATATATTTATTCAAATATCTCGTTTCTTATCTTGGAAAACAAAATGACAAAAGGCAAACGGTTACCAAATTTATTGTTGAATATTTCTATTGTTTTACGCCTATCAGTGAGCTGACCGTGAAGACTGGTTTTTTGAGCTCGTGAATCATTGGTTCTAAATTAATAACTGAAACCTCGACTGAACTATGCGGTTAATAGCAGGTGTATGAGTGTAACACTGATAAACTGACTCCAACTTCAACCACTTCAAACAGATCGCGTGTGACGGGTATCAAGCTATTGCCCCCTGGGGTTTGTGTTCAGCAACACTTATGCTCCGTCTGTTTCAGGTACTGAGCAAGAAGAAATCAACTTCCGCGATTTAGAGTATGCGGTTATTATCCTTCTAAGTGAAGACTCTGACAAGATGTATAGTCTTCCGAACACATTGAGCAGAAATATCGGTATTTTCGGCGTGCGCTTTTCCCTTGTCAAATGTGGTGTAATGCTGCTGGATTAGTCTGCATCGAGTGCTATTTGAAAGAGGGAATGTAATGGTTGAGCATGCCAACCAATGCATTTATTTAGTAAGCTACCGTAACGGACTGATTGCTAGCAAAATCAATCAAAAGGCTCATTTGCTATGCGCCAAGTGGTGCCCTCCTCGACACGAATGTGATGTTCACTTATCTGTCAAAGGACGTGTGTACTGTGTAGCACTTCTCTTCGTGCTTCTTTACTACTGTGAGACATGTATGTTGAAAGTGGAAGATGTGAAGAGGCTAGCTGTCTTTTGCCATTGACGCCTTGTCTCGCGTGTTAAGCAGCATAGTATAGTGAGTGATATTGAAGTTAGGCTTGGAGTGTTAGATTTGGAGAGCAAGGATATCAGTGAGGTTGGGAAACTGCACGGATTGAAATGACTGACGTATATTACACAGAGCTGTCGCCTTCTTCGTCGGTCGACGTCAATTAACTCAGAACGAGGTGTAGAAGCAATTAGGAATGGTCACATCAAAACATGGTGTCGATGCGTGTAGTCTTTGACTGTCAGTTTGAGTCAACCACGAAGTGGGATGTAGACCGTTTGGTTGGAGTCGTCGACACACAAAGAACCGATAGCTTGAGGCTCTCTCTGTGATATGGTGCACAATGGTGCAGATGCACTGACTCTTTGTAATCGCTTACATCTATTAAATTCTCGTTATTCACCACGTAATTATTCTTTCTGCTACACATTTCCTTTCATTATAGTCCTTTTTACTCTTTTTCTCTACTTATGTGCTCTACGGAGTGTGACAACTTGATTTAATGCACTTCTGTATAAAGTTGTAGGTTGAAAACTCAGGGAAAAATTGTAGGTTGATGTTATGCATAATTGCCGATATTGAGCAATTCGGTTTTACATTTGTATATTTAATTTTTTATTTTGGAAACGAGATTTTAATAGCCATTTTTTCTTATTTGCACATTATTTAAGTCGTGAATCAGTATGTTGGTGTTCGTGTATAGTGATTACCACCCAACTACTTTGTTACATGCATTCCTATATCAAATAAGTTAATAAAAATGGATAGTTTTTATAACCTGTATGCAAACATTTGCATTATAGTTAGCATTCTCTTTTTTCACGTAGCCTTGTTAATTTCTTATTACTCTCATACTTTTGTAAATTTTTATTGCCAGTGGATTTCTTACAATCAAGTTATCGCCGTTGATGAAAGCGAACAACTTTATTTACTGAGCAGTTCGACCGGTGAAATATTAGAAGTAAGTTAACTTGTTCGTATATGAAAAATAAATTTTCTATTCTGTTGTTACAAAAGTCAACAAGAGTTAATACCATTAGTAGACCACATGAAATACCTTTGACAAGCTAAAAGTGGTCATAGTGCAAGTGGATTCCAACTGAAGCAAAACAAACAATTGATTCTCAGGTATTATTATTATTATTCCCTTGGGTTCCGAGTGGAACATAAAGCTTGAATGACACATCTCCACTTCCTTCTATTTATTTTTGTGTTGCCCTCTTTATCTGGATCCACGATTGGCCATAATCTCTCATCTCCTCCAATGTCACCGTCACACCGACGACCCACTCTTTGCTTCCACTGGAGCGTTGGTCTGCATTGGGCGCGATGTCATTCGACAGCCTCCTCAACGTATGTCCAATTCATCTCGATTTTCTCCTACATATTTGTTGAGCAATCGGCTCTTGGTTTCCAGCCAGTCAGCGAGAGTTTCTTGTTGCTAATTCTTTCTGGTTGGTTGAAATCTTTTGATAGTAATGACTTCTTCAAAACGAAGTAACTAAGGTTTTCTTCGTATATGTGTTATAACGTAATGAATTGAGATAAACCGCGTCGCCTATTTGTTGTAACTGTAGCAGGAATTAAAATGAGGTACGTTGTCGCCTTGTTCTGTCTGCGCCTGATTAATATGCCTATCTGCTTCTGGTACCTTCCGATTCAGCGAACCACGCAAATATCAAAAGACAAAGTCTGGTCTCTGACTGTGTATTGTAGTACAACAACTATGACTACGACGACGACTACAACAACGACAACTAAACTTATTTAGGAAATGGTATTTATACAATTTTACAACCAATAGAGACAGCTAACAGTATTTGAAATAATTGGTCGTAATAGTCAATAACAAAATGCGTGGGAATGATGATATACCACTTATGCGAGATTAACAGTCATTAAGATAACTGAACAATAACAAAGTGCCTGGGAAATGATAATATAACACATATGCGAGATTAACAGTCATTAAGATAATTGACAATAGCAAAGTGTGTGAGAATTGATGATATACAACTTATACGAGATTAACAGTCGTTAAGATAATTGAACAATAACAAGTGTGTGGGATCCTATCACCTCCCCCCGTTAAAAGTGTAGGACTTGCTTTTTGAACCTATTTGAAAAGGTTTTGGAGCTCTTCTTTGTCGAGTTGACTTTCGCGTACTGGATAGATTGTGATCTGCGTCCCGGGCTTCCGGCTGCGGGAGGATTTGGCGTCGTACGATAATGCAGCGAGAATCTGTGCAAAATTTCTTCTGTTGTTCCCTCCCCCTTCGGTTTTGCATAAGCACTTTTGTAAATTTGCAGCAACCAAGTTTGTCCTGGAAAACAGAAGCGTGCTTTTGACGCAGGCGTTGCAAGAGAGACTGGTCAGATACATGTCCGGGAACAACATTGTTTGGTGAGGACGAAACATTAGAGCATACTGAATTTAATGGTACATTGAAGAAATGGAGCTTGTCTAACCAGTCAAGACCAAGCAAATTCAAATCATGGTAGTTTGTGACATAACATACACCATTGAACTGTTGCTCACCAAACTGAACCTGGCAATTTATCTCACCCACGAGTTTCAGTATATCTCCAGAGGCATTCTTAGCGACATGCTCGGTGGGCAGAATCTGTGGGCACCCAAGTTTGCGCCACGTAGTTCGGGAAATTAAAGTGATATCTGATGCCGTATCCAACTGAAGACGAATAGATTTGCCGTTAATACGTAGTGTAATGTACTTACGTTTGCTGGCGAAATTGACTTTGGAAGTTGTGAAAACGGTCTGTATTCGAGGAGATTGTTTCGGCTTGAAATGACGACTTCTGTTCTTCACCGAAGAATTTTTCTGTGGTGTACAGTAACCCTCTTTATGTCCAAAACGGTGACAATTACGGCATTTATGTTTCTTGAAAGGACAGAACTTGACAAAATGCCACGAACAACAGTGCCAGCACACTGAAGGAGGTTTAGCTGAATTCTGAGACTGACGTGCTGTGTGCTTAACGGTGATCGGAGGACTTTTCACTGTGTTAACTGAATCAAATTCAGACGACTGTCGTTTGCAATCCAACATAGCAGTATCGTGCTTCAAGTTGATTAAGTGTTGGCATTCTGCTGTCATCATTTGTAAAGTCATTTTTGGGTCTTGTTCCACGAGTGACAGAAGTCGAGTTCTGATGTCAGTATCTTCAGGGTTCTTCAACCCACAAATAAAAATCAAACACTTGAACTGATCTGATGTCATTTCGTGTGGTTTGAACCTTTCGCATTCTTTGTTCACTTTGCCAGCATAAGTAACATAATCATCGGAAGGCATTTTTGTCAACTGAAAACATTGATACCGAATATTAAACATGGATGACTGTTCACCAAAGATTTGTGATAAAACGGTGACTGTCTCATCGAATGATAATTCACGTGGGTTCTTAGGCAGAATGAAGTTAACATATCTGTTGTGCTCAACAGTACCAAGTTTTCGTAGTAACAATCGGACTTTGGCAGCATCATCAAACATGTGGCATTCAATACGAAAAACGTCTTCATAACGATTGAACCATGCATCAAATACGAGACCAGATATTGGGTCGTAGTTGAATTCACTGATGGAATTTGAGATGCTTTCGTATTTGTCTGAATGAGATGTTGATGGAACTTGAATTGACAGCTTCTGAGTGAGAGCTTCGATTAATTTAAGTTGAGCTGCTTCATTCTGAAGTTGCTGCTGCTGCAAGATGGATTTGAGATCGTCCAGAGAGATAGACATTGTAATTGGGTTGTAATTAACACAGTCAAAAATGTTCTATAGATGCGCTGAACAGAATAAAACTCGTCGTCGCTTGCTTGTTATAACTGCAGTGAATTAAAGTAAAACCCCGTCGCCAATTGTTATAACCGTACGGGGAATTAAATGAGGTACGTTGTTGCCTTGTTCTGTCTGCGCCTGACTAATATGCCTATCTGCTTCTGGTACCTTCCGATTCAGCGAACCACGCAAATATCAAAAGACAAAGTCTGGTCTCTGACTGTGTATTGTAGTACAACAACTATGACTACGACGACGACTACAACAACGACAAATAAACTTATTTAGGAAATGGTATTTATACAATTTTACAACCAATAGAGACAGCTAACAGTATTTGAAATAATTGGTCGTAATAGTCAATAACAAAATGCGTGGGAATGATGATATACCACTTATGCGAGATTAACAGTCATTAAGATAACTGAACAATAACAAAGTGCCTGGGAAATGATAATATAACACATATGCGAGATTAACAGTCATTAAGATAATTGACAATAACAAAGTGTGTGAGAATTGATGATATACAACTTATACGAGATTAACAGTCGTTAAGATAATTGAACAATAACAATATGCGTGAGAAATGATAATATACAACTTATACGAGATTAACAGTCGTTAAGATAATTGAACAATAACAAGTGTGTGGGATCCTATGAATATGAATTGTTTTAAAAGCTTGACTAATTTCCACTGTATGTCCCGTGTCAGTCAAGTGTCTGGCAATTGTACTTGACAGCGCTTTGCTACGTTTCATACGAAAACATAGGTATATACTCAGAAAATCTAGTGGACGCTGTCCTCTCAGTCCTTATTGTGCAATTGCTATTACAAGTGCGAGTGAATCGGTAAATGCAGTTGCAGCTTATATGAGGTGCACACTTACCTACTTCTAACTCAGTTAATGAGGATATCATATTTTAAAGCGGAATCATTCTAGTGGTGGGAAATCCAATACAGTTCTCAAAAAGAGCAGTGTAGAACTTTTCACAAATGTGAATCGACTCGAGTTACTGCGCTTTGAAATAACATTCAAATACGAAATGGGATAGATAAAGATTGATAAATAATGCAGTGGATAAAACTGGTCGCAACAGAAGTAGAAGTTATTTAATGAACATCTGTAAAACTGTGTAGTTTCGAAAATGATAAAAAGTGTGAATATATCTATGTAATCTAGGGTATTCAGCCATTGACTATCAGTACTTTCGTGATCCTAGTAAGGTCACCTAAACAATCGTCATACGAGACTAGCATCCAGATACTTCATAAATTGACGCTTCTGTCCTTAATTTCCTCGGATGTAGTCTTACTTTACCGGACACTGCTCACTGCTCACTGTTCGATATGGTTGACAGTAGTTTGAACCAAATCAGCCTAGAAAAAAAATCCTCATCTCATTAACTGATCAGTATGCAATATTGGCACGTGAGGTTGAAATTAACTCACCTTAGGAATTAAGCATTGTGGGTTATTTTCAAATACCAGTAGTCACTGTTTCTAAACAGAATGATATGTTGTTTCGTTCTGAATTTCATTTGTATGCTGTATAACATGGACAACGTCTCAGCGAATATTGTCGCATGCATATATATATATATATAATAAGGTTATTTCTTAATATTTCCTTTCCAGACTGTTGATATTTCAAATATGCGTCTCCGTTATAATTCTGATTTATTTAAATATCCGAGAATTAGTCAAGCTCTCGTAAGTGTTGTCATTTGTCTCTTAAATACTTTTTTGCATTATATGTATTGAAGTATTTTACAGAAAAACAAAATGAATTATTGTTATACAGTTCAATATTTCTTATAACTACTTCTGTAGATCAAGTACATTTGCCTACTTGACTTTAAGTTAAAGTTGAATTCTTTCCTATATACTGTATGGACTATTTCATTGGTGTACGCGGTCAACTTCAAATCACTAGGTCATTATTGTTCTGAACTCTACACCACTTCCTGAAATTTTAACACCCAGGTAGTATCTTTAGCTAAGTGCATGCAACGTATTGTTTTCCAATATATGTTGACTATGAAGTGAGATGAAACTTTATTTTGTTTATCTTGTAAACTTTTGAGTCACAGTTTGTTTGTTTCCACTGTACCTGACTGACGTGTAGAGGTGACCATGATATATTTCTTACAAAACTTCAATTCTTGTGTTTGCTTTTCTTCTTGTCTTGCGTTTATATTACTTATATAATTCTTCCCATTGACTCATCATACCTCTTTTAAGCTTACATTACATTGTGAATTTCCATTGTCACTCTCCATATTACATTTTTTGAAATGTATTCTGTTGCATGGATTATGTAATAGACTTTCAAATGGTAGTAGATTCTTTTCCTGTAGGGGTTAAGTTGTTTCACCGAGTGAGTTTTTTATAGTTATGTGACTTTAATGCATTCTGTTTGATTGGTTAACAGAAAAGGTAGGTTCATCTCGTTACATTAGTCTTTATCACTTGCTCACTATCGACACAAGTCTTTTAATACGTAGTTGCCATTGGAAAAGAAGGAATATACTCTATTCTGCATTTCATAGACTAAAATCCTATAAATGTATGTTAGGCGTTTGTTTGACGGCCTAAAAATGCAACCGTCGACGTTTCGATCACCTTAAAAGTCACCGTATCATCCTCCATTTGATTAACCAGATATTTCTGTTCCTCATTGTTCAATGAGTGCGATTCACAAGCATATACGTTGTGGATTACTGCTGAGCTTTTCTGGTGAGTGTTCATAGCTGGTTAGTAATCATATGAGGGGTTTCAAACATAACATCGCATTTCTAAACAAGAAAACTTTGCAAAGACTGTCGTCCTATTATTTTTTATTTTTGTTTGTAGGCTTTTGCTGGTGAGCGAGCTTGTATGCATTCACTTACCGCTTATGGATCTCAGCTGCTGTTACTTGGTGACACTGGACTGTATTTGATTGCACTACGTACGTGGAATGAGGTAAGTATTTTGAGTACATATCCATTTCAGTCTGTTCGCTGCGGTGTTTTTTTTTTTAGCTGGCTCCACCATTGCCCTCATGCTTTCATTTGCTCTTGACATTATCTGTCTCATGTCACCCTTAGACGCCTAACTCTTTGCTTCGCCTTGGGTTTCCACTTGAGAGCCTGGACACACCTTCAGTGTACTCTTGGTTGTCGTCTAGGTGACCTAAGTAGATTAGTGACTTAAGTATAAAACTTGGGCACTGTGGTAGAGTAGAACTCCATTATGGATAAGATTTTAATTTGATGAATCACAGTGTTGTACAGTAATATTAACTGATGACGTTTCGAGCACAAATTATTGCTCATATCAAAGCAAGATTGGTGACTCTCCAGTTAACATTTTGGATAGTATACTTCCATTCTATCTACTGTCACAGATTCCTAGCACTTCTATACCATATCTTCTCATTTGTTCTGCAGTCTCAGCAGCCTAGTAAGGCAGAATCAGATATGGTGAGAACGTTCCCTATCTCCATAATTACTTTCGCCTTCATGGAAAGAAGATGTAACGGCCGACTGTCTTCTTGAATTTTTTCATGAGCTGGCTTCATTCGGTCTCCTTGATTCTAGTGGAGAGTAAATTCATTGTACATATTTTTCCATGTACGCTGAAGTTTGTGTAGTGACTGGCTTGATTTTCAGGGTTAGAGTCTGTATCCCTACGCCTAACCTTCCCTGTTTCTCCAGTCTCAGGACTTGCCAGTAAATTGGACTATACATGTATTGGTGAATAAATACTTAATTAAATGGAGAAAATTGACTGGGAAATTGGAGCTGATAGTAGCACATGGAGTTTATCTCCTCGACTTCAAAGTTTCTAACCTGGACGTTTTATAGAACATAAAAAACTGTCATTTCAATATTCATTTATAGGAAAGACGATATACATAACCAATCAACTTTTTCCAGATGTGATGACTGCAACTGATAAGTGTTCACTGAAATACTCGTGTGACGTGTGCTACTGACAAGATTTATCAATAGTATATGAAAACACGTTCATCAACACAAAAATATCAAATAGAGGAGAGATAGATTTGATGTCAGAGAGGGAGAGAGAAAGGAAATGAATCAGTATTGCGGAAAAACATGGAAGACATGAGAAGAAGACAAAGAAGGAACACGATACGAAGGAAAGGCAGAAGTAGCACAACACAAAAGATCTGTGCAAATGGCGATTTGGAGATAAGGTGTACCCACTTTCCCCCATCCAGAGATATGAAATTCCAAGTAAAGATTCCGTTACAAAGTCTCTTGTTCTCTACTGTTACATCTAGTACTTTAAAGGCTCCTATTGCGGTTTTCAGTATGATTTCTGAAACAATGACTGGACAATTTTGTCTTCAGTAAGAGATTGTGGAAATGTCGTACAATAAACAGTTGCTGTGCACTTTGTAAAACCCGTTGTGTGTCTTTTATGTTAACTGTTGAATTGAGATGATTAATTCAGATAGTAGAGGTTTAACACTGGATCGAAAAATATTTGAAGTGCTTTCCGTCTTGTCTTGTGTCTATCAACTTCTGCTGATTCGATGAACGGGACTCCTCGTTTCTGACATATATATATATATATATATATATATATATATATATATCTGTATAGATTGTTTATTGCCTTAAGTGTGAAAGGTACCTAATAGTGGATTACCTTCAACGTGCTGTAATAAAACCTTTAATTTTCGTTCTAATTTCAGAGCGTTACTTTTCTTCTACGATGTAAACAACTTCATTTGGGTCTTAGATATATGGAGGATGCGTTGAAATCATTATCTGTAGTAAAACAAGCTGATACTTTGTCTACGCCTGAAAAGCATGAACAAGATTCCAATATATCATCAATGCATAATCATATTTTAAGTATTTTACGCGGTGAAGTGCTTTCTGCATTACTTTCTGAGAATGAAGAAGACTATAATTGGTTACCTGTATCTTCAGTAATAGAATCCATAGTTCGGATAGCCTGTATGATTAAGCAGCCGTAAGTTATATATTCACCCCAGAGTACTTTGACTTGATGTTTAATCAAATGTTTAGTTTTTAATTCTACACTATATAATACCGACAAACTACCCGTTTCGCCTATAACTTCATGCATACATCTTTGTCAAGTGTTTTGTCTTCGTGGAATTTAATTCCAAAAACAGATGAAGTTTCCTATTTAACTATCATAGAACTAGAGTTTCAAAATTAAGTTACATGCGAATAAAATTCTTGATGTTATGCTGCTATTATAATCACTTGTTGTCATCACTGTTGCTATTATTATTGATTTTATTAATAGTAGTAGTAGTAGAAGGAGAATCAGGAATACGCTGGACCACCGATAAGAAGACTCTGGAAGATCTGGATTTCGCAGATGATATATGTCTAATGCTACACAAACTCGTAGACTTGTAAACGAAAACCAACAAACTGGCTGAAGAGGCAGGCAGGCAGCGAAGACAGGACTGCAGGTGAACACAGAGAAGACGGAGGTGATGAAAATAACCAATCAACAGCAACAACAACCAGCACCAATCACCACCAACGGCGACATTTAACTGAGGTTGCCTCCTTCACTTATCTGGGAAGCATCGTTTCAACTACAGGAATTAGGAACGGACGAAGATGTCAAAGTCAGAATCGGAAGGGCAAGATACGCCTTCACCAACTCTGCAATGGAACAAACCAACCAAGAGCCGATCGCTCAACAAATATGTAGGAGAAAGTGGAGATGGATCAGACATGCATTGATACGGCCTCCGAAGGACATCGCACGCCAGGCTCTCGAGTGGAATCCAAACGGGAAGAGACAAGTGGGCGGCCTAGGGTGACATGAAGGAGATCGTTTGGGGAGGAAAATATGAAAAGGTTTGCTCAATCGTGGACCAAACTGAAGAGGATGGCAGAAAACAGAACAAAGTAGAGATGTGTTGTTGAAGCCCTATGTTCCACTCGGAACGCAAGGAAATAATAGAATAAATACAATACAATATGTAAACCAAGAGATGCGCCGCACAAACACAGAGAGACAATAATTATACGGAAAAAACAACAGACATAGTTTTTGTAATACGTTCGGGAGAGTGTTCATCAATTCGTTTTACTTTTAGAAGTTAGAAAAACAATAAAACTACTGCTTTCTCACGAGTGATATTAATCCCTTGGTCATTTATGATGACATTTGGAACCTCTTAGTGGCATGTTCCAGGGACTTGTGATTCATCATCAAAATAGCAACTAAACACAACCATCATTCATTTCACAGCTCCAGTGCATACGCTGACGACGTCTCCAGTTTCTGCAACTGGTTTCATGGCTACCAAAACAGTGAAAGATGAAACATTTCCAAACCATCGAAATCGTTTTCCCTAGACATCAATATCCAAGACTTCAGAATTAGTTATACATGCACACTACTGTATGCCAGTGGATTTGCAGAGACAGCATTGATTGAACATGCGGAATCTCTGTGAATGAAAAACATGTGGAAGTCACGTTTCACAGGGCACAATGTGTTGTCAGTCTGACTTATGCCGACCAGACTGACGTCGTGACTGCGCCAAGGTTAACACACATATAGTAAGACGATATTGCATGTATGAGCGTATAGTGCTTCTCTAGAGAGCAGATCTACGTGGCTGTCACATATATTCTTCAGACAGATTCTGGAACATAGGCATACTTACCGGTGTCCAACAATCGTCATATTTCTTGACCTAAAAGCGGCATTCGATTCTGTTGATCGAGGGGTACTCTGGAGATGTTTGTCTGTGAAAAGAATGACGAGGAAATACATCCCACTGATCAAGACACTCACTCTACTCGAACTCATGCAGTTAGCCAGGTGAGAGCGTAAGGAAAGCTGTCATCTGAATTGGTGACAACTAGTGGTGTCCGACAGGGAAACCCACTATTCCCACTTCTATTCAATTTCATCATAGACGTACTAATGGACTTAACCCTAACTCACTTCATAGACTCAGGGATTGACTTATTACCAGGAAATAATCTCGTTGATTTAGAATATGCAGATGATATAGTCCTCCTTCCTAGGTAAAGACGCTGACAAAATACAGTCTTCCGAACACCTTGAGCTGTAATCTGCGAATGTTTGGCATGTAATTCGCTCCCGCCAAATGTAAGATGATGATAATAACAGTAAAGCTTGATGTCATAAGGGTGGATAGAACTGCTTATTTACTAGTGCAAAAAAGGTTATTTAGTTAGTGTAGTGTTTATGAGTTAATCAAACATTCACCGATCAAGTGAGAATATTGAGGGCCCGCAATAAAGGCTTTATTCGTTTTATAATTCCAGTATAGAATCTGGTTTAAACAAAAATGAAAGATGTGAATAGTGTATAATATAAATGCTAAACGTTTATGAAAATGTTCACACCACATTCTTCTCCCCTTTTGTTTGAGAATACAGAGCATAAGGAGTCAAGACTTTTAAAATTGTTTAGACTTCGCGGCTTCTCAGATTGTATGGACGAACCCTTCGTTGTTTCTCTAGTAAAGAAGATGGGTTCGGATCAATTTTGACATTTTCACTTAAATTGTCCGTCAAAATAGGAGTTTCAGTATCTGTAGAACGGGTGGATATGTCGTCTTCAGTAAGTTGATTTTGGAGGCATTCTGGTACTGCGTCTGGAATCGGCATGCTAACGGGCGATTGAAATATATGTTCTTTTGGTGCAAGATGATGAATAGATACTGTTTCCTCACGTCCATCTGGAAGTCTCACATGAGCATACTTGGGATTACATTCAATCAGTTCAACTTCATCAACTGGAGATTCATATTTAGAACGTACATTACGGCGCATCAAGACCGGTCCAGGAATAGTTAACCAACTGGGAAGAGAAACACCAGACGTTGATTTTCGATTGTACCTGAACATCCGTTCGTGTGGAGTAGTATTTGTGGCAGTACATAAAAGAGAACGGATAGAATGAAGAGCGTCGGGGAGAACAACCTCCCACTCACAGATTGGTATGGACCTAGATTTAGCAGCTAGTGATATACATCGCCAGAGAGTGCCGTTGAGACGTTCAATCTGTCCATTTGATTGGGGGTTGTATGCTGTTGTTCTACTGGTAACTATTCCTTTATCGTGGAGAAAATGTTTTAATTCTGCAGACATAAACGACGATCCTCTGTCTGAATGCATGTAGGATGGCATACCAAACAGGGAAAACAACTGGCACAGGCAATTAATAATAGTTGATGCTGTCATATCCTGGCAAGGAAAAGCGAACGGAAATCTAGAGTACTCATCAATTATCGTAAGAAGATATTTGTTCCGGGAGTTTGAAGGAAGAGGTCCTTTGAAATCAATATTTAGACGTTCAAAAGGAGAAGTCGCTTTAATAAGATTTCCTGTGGATACTTTGCAAAACCTGGGTTTCAGCTCAGCACAAACTGCACAACTAGATATCGTCCTCTTCACATCATCAACAGAAAAAGGTAGGTTCTTAGAACGCACAAAGTGAAGAAGGCGAACAACTCCTGGATGGCACAGAGAGTTATGTAGGTCTTTCAGATTAGTTTCACCCATGACAGAAGCAGAATATCCGCGAGATAATGCATCGGCGACTTTGTTTTCTTTGCCACAACGGTAGATTATATCAAAACTGTAACAAGAAAGTTCTATTCGCCAACGCTGAATCTTGTCATTCTTTATTTTCCCATGGTGGTTCATATCGTACATGAAAGAAACTGATCGTTGGTCTGTAATGAGTTGGAAATGAGTACCAAGTAAATAATGACGCCATTTTCTAATAGCTTCGACGATGGCATAAGCTTCTTTCTCCACCGCTGAGTGATGCCGTTCACTTGGTGATAGTGTTCTGGAAAAAAATGCAACGGGTCTACCATTTTGTGTTAACGTGGCAGCTATAGCAGTATCCGAAGCGTCGGTTTCAACTATAAGGGGCAAGTCGAGATCCACAGTAGTCATCACAGATTGAGCAAGTTCATTTTTTAATGCTGCATATGAGCTTACAATAGTACCTGGTAATGGAAAGATTTTATTTTGTATAAGGGGTTGAATTTTATCGGAGAAATGAGATATCCATTGTGAATAATACGCAAAGAGACCAATGACTCGCTGTTGGGATTTAAGATCTCGTGGAGGTGATAAATTCCATAATGCTTGAAGTCTATCGGGATCAGGTTTGATCATTTTATGAGAAACTTCATAGCCTAGAAGTTTTACTTGTTTAACGCCAATAACACTTTTATTCTCATTGAATGTTAGCCCATATTTTCTGGATGCTTCATAGAACCGGGCAAGATTTTTTGCATGTTGTTCTGTGTTTTCACCACAAATAGTTATATTATCTAAATAAGCAAATGTAGCTTGAAGATTTTCATTTCTGATAATCTGACTGATAACTCTCTGAAAACACGAAACACCGTTTGTGACACCAAAGGGAATACGACGGAACTGATAGAGGTTGCCGCAAGCTTCAAAAGCTGTGAAGAGTTTCTCTTCTTCTTTGATGGGTATTTGATGGTAAGCACTCTTTAAATCCAAAGTGCTAAATACAGTATATTTTGAAATCTTTTCAATCATCTCATCAATTTTTGGGAGTGGATAGGCATCCAATAATGTGAAACGATTTATCGTTTGGCTGTAATCAATCACCATTCTACGCTTGTGGCGTTCATTAGTAGTGACCAAAACTTGGGCGCGCCAAGGGGAGTTAGATGGCTCGATGATCTGCTCACTGAGTAAATTTTCGATTTCCAGCTTGATGAAATGTTCATCTGAAGTGGAATGTCTTCGTGATTTTGTAGCGATCGGAACACATTTGGGTGTTAGGTTATGAAACAAGGGAGGTGGATCAATATGTGCAGCAACAAGATTACACAGTGAAAATGGATTGTTTTTACCTTCAAATGGAATTTCGAGTTTATTATGCAAGCGTAAAAAATCATGACCTAATAGCACATCAGCACACAGATTTGGCAACACTGAAAGTTTGATATGTGAGTAACTCGAGTCTTTATAACGTAGATTTACATAACAGTGACCATGAGTATGAGTTGTCAGACTTGTGGAAGCCATTGTGATTGAAGTGCGAGAATGCTCTACCTTTATATGTTGTTTTTGAACGACTGCACAAGAAATATAACTGTCTGAGCTCCCAGTATCTACGAGGGCTTGTAGGGGAATGTCATTTACAAAAAGCTGCACAACCGCATTGGAGAGAGACTGTGGAGCGGCGGCTAGAGTCATGGAAGACAACAAAGAACTAGTAACTGATGTAGTTTTGGTGTACGATTTTGACCGGCAGACCTTCTGATAATGCCCCTTCTTACCACAGAGTTTGCATACTGCATCCCTTGCAGGACATTTAGAGCGAGGATGTCTAGTAAATCCACAGAAGTAGCATTTCTCATTTATTGAAGCAGTCAATCCTGTTTCACCCACATAAGAGTTTAGTTCATTTGATGTATCACTGTTTGATATTGCAGCAGAATTGGAGAATTCGGAAGGATGAAACGAATGTGATTGTTGATAAGCCATTTCTAGGGATCGAGCTTGTTCATAAGCAGTATCAAGATCAAGTAATTTGTTTTCCAGAAGACGTTGTCGTATATTATTAGATTGCATTCCACTTATGAATGCGTCACGTATTGCATCATTCTGATTTTGTTCAGCCGAGACAGGTTTGAATGAACAATCTTTTGCCAGAGATTTCAGTTTTTGTAAAAATTGGTCGAGGCTCTGTCCAGTTTCTTGTTTGCATGTGGATAATAGATGTCGAGCAAAAATCTCGTTCTTTGGTTTGACATACAGTTTCTCAAGAGTACTAAGAGCGCCGTCAAATGTTTTACATTCAGCAATGTATTCATATACAGTAGGTGAGATATAGTTGATGAGAACATCAAGTTTGTCTGAATCTGGAGTTGAAGATTTAGTGATAAAAGTATTGAATGTACGAAACCAATGATTCCAAATCTTCGAAGATGTTTGGCAATTGGAATCAGCATCAAAGCGTTCAGGACGTAATATCTTGTCCATAATAAAACGAATAAATTGTAGTGTTTATGAGTTAATCAAACATTCACCGATCAAGTGAGAATATTGAGGGCCCGCAATAAAGGCTTTATTCGTTTTATAATTCCAGTATAGAATCTGGTTTAAACAAAAATGAAAGATGTGAATAGTGTATAATATAAATGCTAAACGTTTATGAAAATGTTCACACCACAGTTAGTTAGTTCGTCCCTGGCACTATTTTCATCACATAAAATACGTGCCAAATGTGGTATCGTGTAATTTTTATACTTTGACGCGTGAAGTCTTTTGATGAAATGACTTGTATATTTTATATGTATGCATATGTTAAATACCTGCGTATTGTGTCGTCTTTTCTTGTAGTGGCTTCATATGGTCAGAGTTATATCCAGCTGTTCGTCAGTTTCCCAGTTTGACATCTGCCTTATTTGCTGCTACGTTTTCTATTTTAAAATCACTGCCTCCTTATGGACAACTTCGCACAGAAACATCTCAGTCTACACACGAAATTAATCCCAGACAACAGTTCATTTATCTTACTCCTGATATGACCAAACATTTTATTGACTGGTGTTTAGATCAAGATGATATAATGGATCTAAACATAAATGAAACTAAATCATCGGACAATAATACTTTGGTCAACAAAAGACTCAGGACAGAGATATGTCTTCTTCGTTTACACCCATCGTGTTTGGACTTAAATTATGTAAGCCTCATTGTATCTGTTGTTCATATAGTTATGTCTTAATTTTCCTTCAAATAACTGAACCAATCATTATCATATCTGTTATTTGCTTAGTCTATAATTCTGTCTCTAACCAATCCAACCAAATCCCTACAAACCAATACTTGATAATTGATCTGAAGCCCACTAGCGACTGGCCCTATTCAGGTAGTTACCTGGGGTTCTAGTGGGAAGCCGTGACCAATAGGGTACAGCAGGTTGAAAGTGAGGCAGTAACTCATCGGAAAAGATAGTGCGAAGTGGTCGCGCTATATCGTAATTGGCAGAAGTTAGAATTCAGGGGCCATTGGGTCGTGTCCCAGTAGCTTACCGGTCTATGAGCTCACCTAGTAACCAGAATGTCCTGGGTTCGAACCCTGGTGGTGGGTGTGTACTGCTGAAGAGTCCCAAACTAGGACAATGGAAACAGCTGTCCAGTACTCCGGTGCTGGTTTTCCAATGGTTCTCTAACTGATGTCAGTTCATGATGAAATCCTCCAACCAATATAGTGTAATAATTGAATGAAGTGCGGGAACCTGCTTCCGTTTGCAAATTTTTTTTGAGTTTGAAAAGATGAACTATGTAGTTATGCCTGTCGTCATTCGTTATGACACAGATACTGGACAGCAGTGCTCCGTAATTTTAATTGACTACATAAGTGATATTGGCCGATACCGACATGCTCCTTCAAAACCAGCCTAGTTCACACAAAGGGAACATTTGATCAGGTTATGTGCTCTCGTCACGGTTGCCCACCTTAACTCCCGGTGACAGGAGTCTATTCATTACAAAAGGTTATCATTAGCATTAAAGAAGGTTCGTTTAAAGTTGACTTTGGATAAAGTTAACAGTGTTCTCCACTTCAAGTAAGATTTGTTTTAAACTGGCTATATTTCACTTATTGGTTAACTTCAGCTAACATTACTAACTGTGTATTTAAGTAGTACATAGATTACATTGGAACTGTAATTTAATTTGATGCTATTTACATTATCTCTTCATTTCTATGTATTCACATGTACAGGTTGTAAAACTTTGTTGGACACACAGTTTATTGGATGCCTACTTACATCTGTATACGGATATTTTGATGGATTTTGAAACACCTTTTAGAGATCTTACAATGTTCTTGCTTAAAAGTATAGACAGTTTAAATGGTGAAACAGGTGAGATATTTAAGAAATTTAACTCACATACTCATTGACGGGTGGTTTTTATTAGGTAATTAAAGAGCTTTCATACATTTGGTTCCCTTGATAAATTTCGATGGAGAAAGAATGACCAGATTTGCAGTATAAAGAGCTTTCAATCTGTCTCCCATGTCACATCGACTACCATATTGAGTGTATGGTTATATTCCACCTATGGCTGGAAACTTGATGTTAGATGGTTGTAGCACCTAGGTTTCGTGCTAGTTGGCACTCACCAGTCAGTAAGGCGTATCTGCGACCTTGAAGGAATTCATGTCCCTCCTTCTGAGATTCGAACCCGCGTCACCCAGTGCTACCAGCAGTCAGAGACGTCACCACTGAGCTATTCAGGCTCGCGATTGACCTCCTTCTTGTAGGACTGTATTGGATACTTTGATTAGACTAGTGTGCAATCAAAGGTTTGAAACTTAATTGTTGATGGGACACGTTAAGTTGGATATATCAGTGTGTGTTTTCCTTGTCAAAACTAACCAGACCTGTGTTAAAACTTCTATTGTAGGGGGAATCAGCAAAACTTACCTTTTATAATATTCCACATTTGGTATCCTGAATTGTTATTTTTAATAATACTAATGCTTTTGTTTAACTTGTCAATAAATTCAGTTTTCACTCCTAAAAACCTTGCATATTTCACGATTAGAAAAAATTCCTACTTAGATATTTTGCCTTCTTGCATGTTTTATTTTATACTGGGAGATTGTTTCTTTCCTATCTCTGGTTAGATGTCGCAGTCAAAAACGATGATAACAGAACAGCAAAGTATGGACATTGTTTACTTGTCTTACTTCGTTCAGCATTTGCCGGTGAATCTTTCTGTCATCAACGTCTACCTCCCCCAATGGATCAAGATATTCCTCTAAAGGTATAAAATGAATAATTTCTACACAACTAGTAGGATGTATTAAGCATAACTTGTGTTGTATTATGTCATTTGTTAGTCATTCTCTGTTATTTTTTTGTGTTTGTGTTTGAGAAGTTTCCTAATAATTCATGATCAAGAAAACCTGTACCCCGATGGCTAATAACGCAAATTCCTGTTGGTTTTACCAAGAGGAGTTAATCGTTTTTTTCTTTGAATGTATAAGCCAGTCATAATCCCGGAAAGAGGGAAGCTGGCAACTACACCTCGTAAAAAATAATAAACCTCATTACTACTGAAACTTATTCTCCGTTGGGATAGGGAAGAACGGGTGACTCTGGTGGGTGAGAAGCTAGGCGTAATCTACATTGCAATGAACAAAGTAGTGAAGAAGAGTGCTAGGAAGACAAAATTAGCTTTTCAACGCACTGGAAAATCCTACAAAACAGTCTATAAGTAGAGTGCTTTCACAACACTATATCAAATAACCGAAACGCTGTCTGAGAAAAGATCAACGCAGATGGAGCCAGTAGGAGGTGGTGAAGAAAGTCTAATTACCAAAGAGAGGGAGGAGCGGAAGCCGCACTTATTGGATCGATCACCACCTATCGTTCTCACAGCAATATCACAGCAGACACAGAGCGACCAGTAAACACCAACACGCTGACAAAAGCAGAAGTTTTGAAAGCCATAAAGTGACTAAAAACTGGAGAAGCAGCAGAGCAAGATGTAACCCTACCTCCAGGAGCACACTAAAGAGAGAGAGACCTCAGTGGATATGCTCATGCCACCACTGCAGGTGTTTAGGCTGGAAGGCTATCTGTTGATCTGAAGAAAGGTTACCTTGAGAAACTGCCAAAGAAGGGAGACTTAATTATATGCACCAAATCATGCTGCTGGTCACCTCGAGGAAACTATTGCGTAGTTTCATCCTGAAACAAATAAAAGTTTCTCTAGTGGAGAACTTGGTACGTAGCAGACTGGGTTCAAGAAAAAATAGGTCATAAGCAGATCAAACTGTAACACTTTTCATCATAACTGTCGAAAAGAGTCTAGAATAGCGATCAATTATGTACCTCAAGTTCATCTCACAGCGATCGATATATTTTATAGATATATGTGAATCATTGGTAAAGCTACTCAGTGTATTTTCTAAATGTCATTAAAATCACTCAAGAGAAGCAATGTTATCATTCTATTGTTTCATCTAAACAGTAAAGCAGGATCTCTTTCAAAATCATCTACTATGCTTGAACAGTTTTGCACTTGCATACCTTGCTATTATTCTGGTTAACGCTTTTTAAATTAATCTTTCATACTTTCTGTTCTAATGTCTTTTTTTCATAATTTTCTGTGCTTGTTATTTGTAGATTTTTAATCTAATGTTGAGTGAATCCCTTAGTAACGTTAAATCTCCTCCCGCATTTCTTCGAAATGTTAAATATCCTCTTCTGCATATACTTCTGCAGTACAGTCCAATCGATGTGTTGAATTTGCTTACACTGTCAATTTCTGACGATGAATTCTTTGTTAAAGGAGAACTTGGGTAAGGCTTAGATTTTTTAATTTCTTTTTATCTTTCACTTGAATTCAAATTTGTGTTTTAATTTATAGTTTTTTTGTTATATATAATCAATTTTAGTTAGCAGCTGCCGTCTTTTGGGATCGCTTATCATAGTTTATTATTATAATATTATTATTGTCTCCTTTAGTTCCTAGAGGAACATAGGGCTTCAGCCGAACGTCTCCACTGCGTTCGGTTCTCTGCTAACGTTTTCACCTGACTCCACGTATGCCCACATGCTTTCATCTCCTCTACACATGACCTCCTCCATGTCACCTACTCACTGACTACTCAATCGCCGCTTCCCGTTCGGGTTCCACTCGAGTAGTGGTCTGGCGTGTGGTTTCACTCACTTGATGGTTTTCTCAGAGTATGGCCAATCCACCTCCACTTCTTCCTGTTTCCTGCTGGGTTGGTTCGCTCATTGCCAGAGATCACACCCAGTTGCTGGTCTTTTTTGGCCGGCCATCTGATCTTGAGTAGTATTGAGCGAAGACATCTGTTGATGAAGGTCTGTAGTTTGTTCGAAGTGGCCTTCGTGATGCGCTGGTCAAGTCTCTGATCCGTATAGTAGCACTGACTTGACATTTGAGTTGAAAATCCGGATCTTATTTTTCATACTGAGTGCTGTTGACCTCCACGCAGACTTCAGAGTAATGAAGGCTTGCCTTGCTTTCCCGATCCTTGCTTTGATATCCTCGTCATTTCTGTTCGCCTGTAGTTGAAACGATGCTTCCCAGGTAGGTAAAGGAGGCTGCTTCTTTCAGATATATCCTATTTATACTGATTGTTGTCTGTTTAGTTGCTGTCGCTGTTGGCGAGGAACTCTTCATCACCTACGTCTGCCTTCTCTATGTTCACCTGAAGGAAGTCCTTTCTCTGCATGCTTCTTCTGCCTACTTGTTGCTTTTGACTTGCATATCTCCCAGTGTGTGGGAAATCAGACATATATCATCGGTGAAGTCCAGATCCTCCAAGTTTTTTGTGTAGATCCATTTTATGCCTGTCTCCTCGTTGCCCGCCGTCTGTCTGTCGCATTATCCTCAAGTAATGAAATATATTTATCTATTTCATTTGAACTATATTTTTGATTGCGTTACAAGTGAATCTTTGCGAACAAAGAAAGTTGATAAGTATTACTTCAAAACTGAATTCCTTCAGGTGAACTAAACACTCTCGCATACATTTAAGTATCTTGATTGTTCAAACCAGACAGTATGCTTTTGATTCACTGTTTGTAATGTAGCAGTTTACTCCCACGAAATGAAGACCCTCGGAAGTCTTCTAGTTTTTTACTTTGTCACTCAACTATAGTAATATTTGCATCCGTCTTATTCCAACTGAATTAGAAATTTCATCAGCCGCCGTAATTTTACTTTAAACATCGTATTTTGTTTGTATTTTTAATAATAATAATAATTTGCTTTATTCCAAAACAGTACTTGTGATACAGAATGGAATTCTCAGCATTTTTACTACAGTATTGCATCCAGTTAGTACATTATCAATAAATAGAATTCTACATAGATTAAGGAAATCTCAGTTCATTATTACAACAACACATTGGCATGTCGGTAGCAGAGGTAAAGCTGAACAGTGTTTGAAGGTGTTAGAAAAGTAGGAGCTGTCATATTTACTGGCGTAAGCGAGAGAAAGAAACAAAGCAGCACATAACGGAGAAAAAAGAGATAGAGAGAAAAGGAAAAGAAAGAAAGAAAATGTTGTACCTATAAATGATGTGAGTTGGAAAGACGAGATCCAGTTGTTCTACTGACTATTTAATGAGTTATAAGTTTCACGCGTAATGCTTTATTTATCGCACAGAACACGAGCCAAGTTTGTTTGTTATTATGAATAGGTGTCTGTTATTATTTATTTTATTCCTTTGCGTTGCGAGTGGAACTTAGGGCTTCGGGCTAAAGCTTTGAAGTTTGGGTAACAATGGCGTTATTTTTACGTGGTGGGACTGCTAGACTCACTCTCAACCTTCTTTCTTTGTCTGGCTCAGAAGTGGCTAGGGGAGGTAAATGTGTGCGCGAGTCGGGAATTGAACCCCGGACTATGTGGGGCGTGGTTGGCGAACCACCGATGCACTAGGTGTCTGTTGGTTATTGTGATTTTTATTTTTAAATTTCCCTGCAATACTCGCATACTGTTGACTGCATATATCAATATTTTCCATACAATAAGTTATGTTAACACGCAGTTATCGTGATTGCCATATATTTTTTTTTCAAAATTCTATAACAGACAATCAAGACGTCAACGTCTCTATTACTGTCTTATTCTTACGTCGCTGTCACCATCAACTTTATCCTCACCAACATCTAACGGAAGTTCTCATGAGAATACAAATGGTGCAGTGGAACAATCATATCAAGTGAACTGCCAGATGCAAGGGATTGATATTAGCATACCTTGTCGGATATTTATCTTCATAATACATCAGCTTAGCTCAAAAAACAATGAAGAAATAAAAATTGATCACAATCTAATTTATCAGGTGTGTAATGTCAGTTCTATTCTGTATGTTTCTTTTTAAGTAACTTCTTATTCTTATTATTAGTAAATTAAGCCTTATAATATTACACTTTAATCTGTGTCAAATAAAATCGACGTATATGAAGTTATGCATCTAGGGTTATTTGTAGACTTTATCACTGACACTCGTCCGTGGATAGAAACGTTCAACCGCATATGAAATCAGAAACTCGACTATCCAGAATGCTGTTCAGATTTCTGTGTATGAATGCCTTCCCTTTGAAATAATTAGAGCGTATTATTCACACGCAAAATGGCTATCGTAAATTTTTTTAAAATGTTATATTGTCACAGCACACACACTTTGTATGAGCACCTGCAGTCACTATTTCTTCATTCCCCCCATCAATGCTAACTGTGCAGTGATCAAAAGTAGTAAAGTTAAGCGACTTTGAGACTCTTTTGTCTTATGACTTTTTTAAGAGAAAGAAAAGGCTGAAGAATTATCAGGAAAATCTGTGTAATTTTGCTGTGATTTTGTGTGTACAACATGGTTTCAGTGATGGTGTTCGTTCACAGGATGAAATTTGAAATTTCAAAACAGGAGAAGAAAGATTAGTGACTCATCTCAAACAGAGAAGGAAAATAGGAATTTTATTTTGAGTGTTTCCAAATATTTTGATACATTTGATACATGGGATTTCACTGCCAACGAAGGTTTCAAAATACAGAATCAAATGTGTAAAATCACTGGATATTATTTTTCTACAAAACCGACAGCAGCACAATTCTGCTTTGATACCCAGATTCCAGTGGCGATTTTGTTATAGCAAAACTGACATATTTTAATGATATTGGTTGATATATTGACAGTCTGTCTGTGTGTTTGGATTCAACATAGAACTTGGCACCGAAGTGCAGCAGTTCGAGTTGCCACGCTTCAGATAGCAAACAAAGGTAGACAAGAAGATGAGTGAAGAGAATCAATAGAGTTTTGACAAGTATAAGAGTGAAACAGAATGAGCAATGGTAGGAAGGAATATGAAAGATTACAGAGATTGAATACATCTGCGCCATTGACAACGACTTTGAGCCATGTCACCTATTGTCTCCAGCCATTGATTCTTAGAGTCCCGAGGGCCCCAACTCGGAAATCTGCATCTCCCTACGTGACTCAGCTTAACTGTCAAGGATTTTATGGATTGATGCCATGTTTTTGTTTGGCCACCACTTACTCTTTTCCAACCTGCACCTATATCAGCTAGTAATGGCCGTCGGGGGAGGCGATGGTTAGGCATGCGCAGCACGTGACCTAGCCATCTCAATCTATGTAACTTTATAGCCTCTTCGATTGATTTTCCCATATATTGACAGTAACGTTTACCGCGTTGTAGTAAGGCAAACGTTTTGAGTCATTCTGATTAACTGACTGACTGCATTAGCCTACTAGCTGTCGTTTGAAGAAAAACAAATAAGCCTTTTTGTTGATATTAGTACGGATACTTCAGCGATGTGTGATGATGAACATCATACTGTTTGTTTGATAGTGATTATCAGTAGAACCGAAGATGGTCATTTCGTCCTTCTTCGGACTCAGTGGTGTGGTGTGGCTCTCACTGAGACTCGAACCTAGTACTTCTCATTTCAAACTCTGAGAACACTATCACTTATCGGGGAAACAAGTTCATTTAGCTAACTCGTCCCAACCAAAAAACTTAAATCTCTTCTTGGAACAAATCTTTTATGCCATAGATTAAATTCAATCCTCAAAAAGAGGACGTATTGTCACCCTCAGAAATGAACTCGTAATGGTTCTCATCCTTTGGGTTTTTTTGCTTAATCTTCTTGTCGTTTTTGATTTATGATGGGTGGTGTCCACTTATCTCCGATGCCATTTACTAGCGGTGGAGCTATGTTACAAACTGACGGGAATTGGGATTCATGATCCATTTGATTGCGATGCACTAATTGAATGGCAAAATGATCATCTGGTAACCTAAAGGTTCTGGTTTCAATCTATGGTTGGGTCATTAAGGTGTTCGTGGGAAGACTGTCCAGTGCCCTTTGGCTTTCAGTAGCTTCCTAAATGATTTTAATTAGTGATGAAATTTACCTTGTTATTATTGTGTTTTTTTTTATCAACTTACATTGTTCTGTCGCGTCGGTGGAACAGCGATAGAATGCTTGCCAATGACACAGGTGGTTCGGGGTTCTATCCCCGACCACCGACGCCCCCCTTTACCTCGCTAAGCCAGTAATAAGACTGATAAAAAGGGATGGTCAGGCGTGAGGTTAGCAACCCCATCCGGTAAAAATAAAACCACTGCTACGGAAACTTCTGAGCTTTAGCTTGAAGCGCCCTATGTTCCACTGGGAATGTAAAAGAATTAAAAAAGCCACACAAAAAAACAAAATTGTTCTGTGGTGGAATTATACTCTTTCACAGTGCTCAAATTCTGTTCTTCTATCGAATTCCTGCAAATCTAAAAAACAGGATTCAAAGAGGAAATACATCATCAATTGAGTTGTGGAACTCTTGAATTTATTCCATTATCAATGTTACAGTATAGTTTTTTTTCCTTTCTAGCGAATTAAATTAATAAAGTTCTCCTGTTTCTAAAACCAGAATATGCTTTCCTGTTTCAAACTCATCCTGTTTTTCATTTAGCACAACAAAGTACTAATTCCGTATTATAATCTCATGTCCCGAGATCTTCTTAGTTATCGTGAATCCTACCTGCACTGCTTTTCTCTTAATTAAATAGAATCTCCATTTGCTTTCTTTCACAATTTGTCACTTGATGATGAACTTCATTCATATCACAGTGATGATGATGATTTACAAAAACACCGGTGTTTATGCTGCTTAATATATATTTATCCTGCTAATTCTTTTTTGATTTCATCAGCTTTTTCAACGAGTTTGTAACTCATGTGATAAACTGCCTAAAACTTTGCTCACGGAATTTGAATTAGCAGTTATCGAGTCAATTGAAACAGGACGATTAAAACATCTAGAACAGTGTGTTTCTAAAAGCTCTGAAATAGGATTGTAAGTTCACATTATATGAAAAATGTTTTCATTTGTTTGTTTTTTTTTTGTTTTTCTTTTTACGTGTTTGCTTCCAAAATTATTATTTTATATTAATGTGATGAATTATTGCTTTACATATGTGTGTGTATATGGGATAAAAGTTGCTGCAAATAAGTCGTAGTGTAAATCCTCTTCTCACATCTAATACTCCAGCTGAAGTTTCAATCCCCTGTGATTCATAAATACAATAAAAATCGCTGGAATAAATTGTATACTGTGTTTTCTGTAACGGCATATTAATACGTTAGTCATTTCGAATGTTTCAGTAGAAAATGAAGAATTCATATGCCTTCTTGAACATTTGAAATTGTTTCTCTTAGTACATCAATAGTCAGAGACATCGTTTCTAACATATTCTGCCTCTCGTGGCGTATTAGTTGAATATTTGTCGATTAGTTCGATAGCGAAGGCCTCAGTTTTGATAGAATACTTTATATAAGACCTTTTATTTGCGTATATGTGCATGTCTGTTAGGTCTATGCATATTATGTCCACTAGTTAAATATAGGTTTGATTATTACCCAAACTATTCAAAATTATGGCAGTGTGTTGTCATAAGGTGCCTACAATAGGCTTAAGTTGTATTCATGTACATAAATCATGCAGTAGTATCATAGCACGCACAAAATAAATGTGGCTTTTATCTTGGCTCCTAAGGTCGAAAACACGAACTTGTTCCTGACTTCTATATAGATGGACAATTAGATATGATGGGGAATATTTGCAGTTCAGGTGGATGGTATTGGTGTAGCTGTGTTCTCTCAGCTAGATGGTTTGATTGTGAAGCTTTCATCGCCTTTCTAAACAAAACCTTCAGTGTATACTTCAGTTTGAAGTGAGCTTTACAATTCTCCATGATTTCATCGGCCATTCCCTCCGATAACTGTAAACGTGATTGGTTGTTTCTGGATATTTTCCCACCCTTCAATTCACTTGTATCGGTACTGAAAGTTGTTTTAGTGGGTGATTCTTCTGAGTACCAGGCGTCTAGGATTTTTACATACCCCCTATCAAATTTGTGTCCGTGTTTGTCTTCACGCCTTGGTATGAGGAAATGGATATCATGTCTTTTGACGGCTAGTTTATTTTCTCGGATTCAAAGACGAAGTAGACGTCCACATTGACTAATATAGTGTTTTTGTTTTCATAGTTGTCGCAATTTATCTTGTATATGACCTCGGTTTTGCCTTCTTTTGCTGTTGCGTCTTCTGGTTGGCATAGGACTGATTTGAAGGGATTTTGTTAGTTTGTGAGTGACATCTATTCTAAAATGGTTTCATATAGTCTTGCAGCGACATTAATGATTTTCCTCATTACTTTGATTGGACACTAGTAACTAGTGTGATGTGCCTAGTTCTTTGTTTGGTGCAAACTGAATTCTGTCAGTGAGGTTTGGTGACGAGCTACCTAGAATGGTGGCCACATTGCGAATCTGACTAACAGAATTCAGTCTGCACCAAGGGAAGGACTACACACATCACACTAGTTACTAAGTGTCCAACCAAAGTATCCAATACAGTCCTACAGGAAGGAGGTCAATCGCGAGCCCGAATAGCTCAGTGGTAACGTCTCTGACTGCAACACTGGGTGATGCGGGTTCCATTCTCAGAAGGAGGCACATGAATTCCTTCAAGGTTGCAGATACGCCTTGCTGACCAGTGAGTGCCAACTAGCACGAAACCTAGGTAAGGCGGTGCTTCCTGCTGATCGCCTCCAACCATCTAATACTAAGCGATTATTTGGTATGTAATCTTTGTACACAATGCTTATGAAAGATTAATTTGCAATGTATTGTACTATACAAAAGATACATGTTAACATTCTTTAGTTATTAGACAGGATAAAATGTAGCGCAAAAAGTATATGATCTTTATGCATTTCTCTATATTCACCATCTTTCCGGTTTAACTTCAATATCGGTAGGAATGCAACAAATGCAACTCTCAACCACATGCATCAATCAATTGGTTTCTGTATTGACATTTAATTGTTTTGACAAATTATAAAAATTCATGTCTACAACTTCTCACCCTGACCTGAGGATATATTCGATGATTTTAAAACTTTAAATTGCGTCGGTGGCACAGCGGTAGAGTGCTCGCCTACCACGCAGGTGGTTCGAGGTTCTATCCCTGGCCACCGACGCACTCCTTTACCTCACTAAGCCAGTAGTACGACTGGTAAAGAGGGAAGGTTGGGAATAAGGCTAGCAGTCCCATCATGAGAAAATAAACACCACTGCAACAGAAACTTCAAGCCTGTAGCTTGAAGTGCTCTGTGTTCCACTGGGAACATGAAGGAATAAAAAAACTTTAGTCACTCGGGTAGGTGACTGTAATTTTCTCACTACTACCGGTCGACTTGCTATCCGTGTAACTAGCCAGAAGAAGCAGAGATATAATTTACTCATAAAGCGGGTAGAGTGTAACTCCATTACAGATAAGATTTTTATTTTGATAAATCACATAGTGTTATACAGTAATATTTTCTGATGCGACCACGTTTCGAGCACAATTTATCACCACTCATAATCATATCAAGGCACTACTCACACAACTTTCTTGCTTCATTTTTATACATGAGTAAAAACTGATTAGACATTTGAATAAAATCAAAATAAGATGAAGTACATTCAGAAATAATATCAGTGTTATCAATCAAATGCAATCAGAAGGGAAATAAGATGAGTGTTTTTTTTCAGTCATAATAAGTAACTTGTTAACATGTTATAATGTACGTGAATTGAAATAGAATTTTAAGACTATTTATTATCCTCCTCTGATTTGACTGGTGGTAATAATATCTTCCATATCTCTGGTATTTGCGTTGAGTCATTTCTGTTGCATTTGTTGGGTGTAGACTCGATGAACCAGGATTCAGTAATCAATCTCTCTCTATCTCCATCTACTTTTTAGAATTTTGACTCTGTCCCACCCACCCTATTGTGGGGTTGTGTGTTGATGCATGCAGTGCAATTGGTGTGCTTTTTTCTAAATTACTTATCTTCTCTGGGTCAAGCATTCTTAGTTAACTTCTTATATTCCGACAATCTGACTACTCTCAACCTACTAGTTTGACTGATCTATGTAGTTGACCTCACTCATAGTCATTGCATGGTATTTTGTAAATTAAATTATTTTGTCTAATTGGGTCCACCGGCAGGGTCCTTTAACCTGCATACATAGCTTGCCCTATCTGAGTGAGTTTGTAGGTTTAAATGCCACTCGAGTTCCTGCTTTATTAAGAATCCTACGTAGGGAGGGTCTCAGATATCCCCTCCCTCCTTATAAGGTGAAACCACTGTAGATGCCTCATATTTCCTCTTATTTATGTTATCATTATTACTTTCACCATTATTTTTATTTTGCTTTTGATCTTTTTTGATATTCCTAATGAATTTTATAGGATAGTTAGTTATTCGATACCAACGCTTCTTCTATCTGTTTCATTTCATCATTTGGGCCTTTTCTTGTACTACTTAGTGCTACTGCTTGGTTTGTTAGACACTTAACTACTAAGCCTGCCTTCACAGACAGATAACGGATGAGGTGATGAAATGAAGTCTAAATATCTATTAGAGTGCAAAATGCGTTGGTATTGCTTCTTATAAAAGCTAGTGTGCGGTTTACCTTCTTCTATTCATATGTATTTTACAATATAACATCATGGCTGATTCTCCTTGTTCATTTTTCGATTCAAATGTTAATTTTATTCCCTCTACTAGTGAGTTTATATTTGTCAAGAAGCTAGAGAGAGAGATATGTTCTGTTTTCAATACTGTGTGTGAAAGTGTCATCCACATATCTCCACCATATTTTTGGAGTAGGATTAGGTGAATGTATTAAGAGCAATATTTTCCCAGTTGTCCATAAATATATCTGCTACGATAGGGGATATTGGTGATCCCATTGGTACACTTCAGTTTGTCTATATATTTTGCCTTGGACTTTAAAGATGCAAGATGTGTGAGGCATAACTGAATTCCTAAAATAATTTTCTCAATGGGAAACTTTGTTCTATGACTAAGCGTTATAATACAAAGTATTGCCCTCTTCTCAATCATAAATTTTTTGTTTTATATTGTTTAACTACTACTTATTGGGAAGGGGATTACTGCCACTTTATTTTTCCTTTCTAGATATAAAGTCTGTGAACACATCCATCATACTTGTGGTAATGAACTTCTTGTTTTAAAATATCGAATACTTCGCTTAAAGAATCGTATCCTGGATAAATGCAATGACCCTTCTGCAATTGTATCAATCCACTCAGACGCTGAAGCAGTCAAACTAGCCAGTTGCATTTTCCAGTATTTGGAACTCAGCCTATGCCATGATAATAAGGAATTCAAGAATGATAATGAACAGTTCAAGAATCTGTTATCTATTTGCTTTGAACAGACTGAAGTAATTAAATTGTATTATTTATTATTTTCATATTTTATGTGAATTCTTTCTGTCTGATACATCACTTTGAATATTCACTCCTTAATGGACTAGTGTAAATATAATCAAGAGGCATAAGGTACAAGTTAGTACTTCTGTGAAGTTTAGTGACTTCATACGCACCTCACCAAAGACATTTCCAACAAGCTGCAAACTCTATTCAACAGCTGACTTTTCTCCATACTGCAAAGATCACATGGCCAGAAAGTATAAGCAGTAAAGAATTTTGGCTACGAACCAACCAAGAACCCATTGTTCAACAAATATGCCCAAGGGAATTGAGATGGATCTGACACACACTGAGGAGACATTTTAATGCCGTCACGTACCAAGCCCTAGAGCGGAAGCCGAATGGGAAAGGACAGGTCGGGTGTTTGAGGTTGACTTTGAGGAGATCGTGTGAGAAGGGAATAAAAGCTTATGGACTGCAGTAGAGCCAGCTAAAAAAAACAAGATGAAATGGAGGTCAACTCTGTCGGAAGCCTTTTCAAATTTGATACAGTTGAGGTAGATTTGACTGTCATTCTATGCTCTGTTCGGCGGTGATACGAAGTGTTGCAATTTGATCCGCACATTAAAAGCAGTCACTAATGGTGGTAACTATCAGTGTTCTCCTAATATCGTCATATCCATCACCTGTTATCACTGATGAATGTGCTAATTACAAGCGTCGGTGGCACAGTGGTTAGGACTCTCGCCGACCATGCACATGGTCCGGGGTTCGATCCCCTGCCGACGCACGCCCGATATCTATGATCGGCCTGCAAAATTTGGGCTACCGATATCCATGCTGAAAATGTCATACTTGTACTGAAAATACGGTGTGGCATCAAGCTGTAATCAAAAAATAAATAAAAAAATAAATAAAGTTCCTATAGTTTCGTTCATCTCAAGTCATCCTCTTTCTCTGATGAGTGGTGTTACGTGAAGTATAATTCCTCCCTTCCTTCACGTTCCCCAGTGGAACATAGGGCTTCAAGCTAATGGCTTTCCTCTTTACCAGCATTATTTCTGGCTTAGCGAGGTAAAGGAGTGAAGTATAATTAATCTGAAATAAATTTTCGGTAGATAGACGAACTGAGCCACATCAGCTATGCTTGTGGTGTCTAGCCGGAATTCTCAGAATGTTAAAAAGTCAGTGGTAACAGACTCCTGACCAAATAGTTTACAATTACCTTGTCGCGGTAATTATAATTATAATTTTCATTAGCCTTCGCCATACACATTCTCTCTCCGGACCAATGTTTATCTACTGGAGTACCATTACATTTCTATTTGCTTTGAGACTAAGGCAACTTGAAATGATGCACTCTTGTAATGCAAACTGTCACTTTGATTCATTCATTTCTTCACATTCAAAGTCCCTAAGTTATATTTCATGCTTTAGTTTATGATTGATATAAGTGTGTGCATTTTATTGTTTGTGTATAGTCTTCATTTCGTTACATATTTGTTATATGGTGTGTTTTTTTCTAGTTTTTCAATGAAATAATTGCAAATAACTTTGCATATATTTTCTTGTCTCTTTTACTTGCAAAGGTTCTTGCTGATTGGGATGAAGACCGAACACTGAAAGTATTATTCAAGCTGACAAATGCTTCAATATCTGAACTGCTTGATTTGATCAATCGTTATGTGAAAGAAAAGTCATCCAACCAACGTGCTACTTATCTAATCTTACGAGCGTATTTCAAATATCGGTATGCCACTAACTGTTCATCCTACTATTATTTTTACATAGTACCGACTTGTTGTTAGATGGTTGGGTGTGATTGTCAGGAAACCATGATGAACCTAGGTTTCCTGCTGACAGAATTCATACAACCGGCTCCCTTTTATTAGCATGAATAAAGATAGTACGAACATATTTGCAGGCTAATACCAGCTCGTCTTATTTCGTGGATTCTCTTCAACCACCTACAGCCTTAAAAAAATCAGTTATAAGTTGCAAATTTCCTAAACATACTTTTTACAATGACTTCAAGTTACTGATAGAAAGTACACTCAGCGTAATTCCAAAGATCACATAAGTAGACAAATTATTCAGTGAACCGGAACAACTCAATGGTAACATCTCTGACTGCATCACTGGGTGACGGGGGTTCGAATATCAGGGGGGGGAGAATATGAGTTTCGTCAAGGTTGCAAATAGACCTTGCTGACGAGTGCTAACAACTGCGAAACCTAGGTCTAGGGTCTCTTGTGGATCGCGATGAATCTGACAAATATTCACAGATTTTTTACTACCTTTCAGTCATCCTACATGATCTGGTGAACCTGTATGAAAAGACATATGAACATTTTGTGTTTAAAGTAAATAATCTGTCAATGATACGTTATAATACTTAAACAGAAATCGTGTATTGCATTCAAGTCTTTCACTTTCAATTAAAATATTTATTTGTCGACTAAATTATTTGTAGTCAGTGTCAAAGAAGAGTTTCACAAGAAACTACACCCAATGCTTCAGATGGTGATGACGATGACAATGATGATCATGAAGACGATGCAGATACAGTCTCTAATAACTGGAAAGAATTTCTGAAAAATTGTAGCATGGATGTTATGGAGTTATACATACACTTGCTAATTTGCTACGGGCTGACATCGTCTTCTGATGCATTGTTAAATTTCATAGAATCCTATGATGACTATCGCGTGGATTTTGTATTAAAGGTATGTGTGTTCACTACACAAGTAATTGTTTTGTTGTTGTTGTTGTTGTTACTTTCTCGTTTTCCGCTTCTTTTATTATTTTTTTCCATAAAAGGACTCATTTTTATCACCTTTGCATATATACTTTGTGGAAGTATGGACAGGTGTACATTGGTGAGATTTTCTTGTAGTAATGAAAGTCAGACAGTGCTGTTTTAGCCGTATTTTCATAATCCCCGTTTATGTATGGTACAGAAACATCAAACTGCTTCATCGAATTGTTTTTGAAGACGGTGTTTTCTTTTAACAGTTTGAAAAAATTTGGGCATTGAGTATATGGATGTTCATTATAATAAAAGTTCTTTTCGTACTTCACAATGAGTGAATGAAAAACAAAACGATACTGTCATAGGTTTCCAGGCCGTAGGTGTTACGAACTTCCTGGAATAATTTGAGCGCCGAGTCAGATTGATTCATTATAAATTATTTTGATTAATCCCAGCGTGTTAAGAAAATCAAAACAAGATCTGTTTTCTGAACGTTTCGCTGTGTAAGCCACAGCTTCTTCAGCAGATTTACTCGGATTTTTATTAATCATCAAAATATATAGTCAAAAATTTTTACATAAATTAAAGTCGGTTTATTTGAAGGTCATTTGTCTATGGACATTTTTACCAATAGAAATATGTAAGCAGTCATCATATATATTTGTAATGACTAATGTCAAATTCTATAATTTGGTTTGTAAGGATTAGTTATGTTTTACGAGTTGATCACGGACTGATGTCAGTTAGAGAACCATTGAAAACCAGGGAGTACTGGACAGCTGCTGTTTCATCCTAGTTTGGGAATCATCGGCAGTACGCACCCACTGGGATTCGAACCCGGGACCTTCCGGTTACAAGGCAAGCTCGTATACCATTCGGCCACTGGGACCCGATTCAATGGCTCATGAATTCTAACTTCTACCAATTCGTGATTTTAGCGCGACCCCAACTATTGTCGTTGGTGGAAATCCATCCACACGTGACTTCTAATTGGACCTCACTGGTCACGACTTCTCACTAGAACTGCAGGAAACTCCAACCTGTAGCAAGTCACTAGCGAGCATCAGAATAATCTTCTATAATTTGGTTTGTAAGGATTAGTTATGTTTTACGAGTTGATCACGGACTGATGTCAGTTAGAGAACCATTGAAAACCAGGGAGTACTGGACAGCTGCTGTTTCATCCTAGTTTGGGAATCATCGGCAGTACGCACCCACTGGGATTCGAACCCGGGACCTTCCGGTTACAAGGCAAGCTCGTATACCATTCGGCCACTGGGACCCGATTCAATGGCTCATGAATTCTAACTTCTACCAATTCGTGATTTTAGCGCGACCCCAACTATTGTCGTTGGTGGAAATCCATCCACACGTGACTTCTAATTGGACCTCACTGGTCACGACTTCTCACTAGAACTGCAGGAAACTCCAACCTGTAGCAAGTCACTAGCGAGCAACTAATCCTTACAAACCAAATTATAGAAGATTATTCTGATGCTCGCTAGTGACTTGCTACAGGTTGGAGTTTCCTGCAGTTCTAGTGAGAAGTCGTGACCAGTGAGGTCCAATTAGAAGTCACGTGTGGATGGATTTCCACCAACGACAATAGTTGGGGTCGCGCTAAAATCACGAATTGGTAGAAGTTAGAATTCATGAGCCATTGAATCGGGTCCCAGTGGCCGAATGGTATACGAGCTTGCCTTGTAACCGGAAGGTCCCGGGTTCGAATCCCAGTGGGTGCGTACTGCCGATGATTCCCAAACTAGGATGAAACAGCAGCTGTCCAGTACTCCCTGGTTTTCAATGGTTCTCTAACTGACATCAGTCCGTGATCAACTCGTAAAACATAATGTCAAATTGTTGTTGTGTTCACTCTTCTATAGTTGGTTTGTACAGATTAGTTTTGTATGAGTGTGTGTGTGTATATATGTTATTTGTCATGTGGAAAGTACGTGAATTCATATGTGATAAGCAAGATATACATGTTTTGAAAGGTCATGGAGGCTCATAGACTGTTTGTGGTTTTTTTTCATTTGTCTTGCTTCATAAGAGTTTGCCTTTTAGGTGATAAGTCTATCCCATCTTTCTTATTCACTGCATTCGATGTGGTTAAGATGTGAAAGGCTTCAGAGGTCAATCTTTCTTTATGTGAATTAAATCCTCTTCCAAGAATTTCGACATTGTTGAAATCAATCTTATGTCCGCTGTCTACAGCATGCATTGCTATAGCCGATCTTTTTTCTAGACTTTTTAGTTTTACTTCATTTCTAGGTGGACGTTTCATGCAAAGTCTATGTTCATTCACTGTTCATTCCTGTAGACACAATTACTTTGTGACATTTTGGGAACTATATCTTTCACATACACCAGCGCTTTCTCCAGAGAATTAGAAGGTTTGACATAGACTTTAATATTATATGAGGCAAATAGTCTTTGAAGTTGTTCAGCTGTGTCCTTTCGATATGGGATGGCTACCGAATAAATCTGCTGAAGAAGCTGTGGCTTACACAGCGAAACGTTCAGAAAACAGATCTTGTTTTGATTTTCTTAACACGCTGGGATTAATTTAAATAATTTATAAAACGATATTGTTTTCACTGATGTCTCACTATTATTTAATGCTACCAATAGCTTTATCAAAGTAGTAATACTAAACCATAGTTTACAAAATCTCAGCTTATATATATCATCTTAATCATCGTTCCTCAACATGCTGTCATTCTTACGTTTTTGTCAAGTTGGTTAGTTGGTGAAGATAACAAAACCAGGTGTAGGTTGTTGGATTTGATAAGTGTATAAAATTTTAAAAGCAGCATGTGTTTACATAATGAAATTGCTTATCACATTCGTGTTGATTTTGTCACTTCATGGGGGAGGGGTATTTTTTGTGACCAGGTCAAATTCTGTTTTAGTTCATCATTCAGACACTATTCAGACAGTTTGGATTCCACTTGATATTGAAGTGCTTCTGATATTAGACATTCCTTGTGATTTCTGAAGTTTTTCTGGATTATTTCAATATTGTCAAAATCAATTTTGTGGCTTGATTCTATAGCGTGTAGACCTATGGCTGATGATTTTTCAAGCTTTGCTAGTTCAACTGGATGTCTCAGTGGTGGAACAGATGTTCTACGGTGTTCATTTCTTGTGATTTTGATTTCTCGTGATGTTTGTTCGATGTATATCGCATCACATTCCAAGCAAGTATTTGATTTTATAGACACAATTAGATAGAGAATCTCTAGGGTTTTGGTCTTTTATATGGAGAAGGTTGTTTCGTAGTATGCGTGTCTGTTGTCTTGAAGAGAACTCTGATGTCGAGCTTATTGAGTACTCTTCTGATATCGTCTGACGTCTCCGCTCTATATGGAATGACAACTGCTGAGGTCCATATTTTCGGAACACGTTTTCGACCATTTTTAATGTCAGTGTTGATTTTGTTGATGAAGTTCTTTGGGTAGTTGTTTTGTTTGAGAGTCTCAGTAATATTTCATATTTCTTCTTTCTCATCTGTTATCAAAGAGTGTGCTCGTCTAAGAAGACTTGAAACAATTGATACCTTTGCACCTATGGGGTGTGATAATCCGAAGTCTAAATATTTGTTGGAGTGGGTTTTCTTCCTAAATATAGATATACTGAAATGTTCGTTTTACCTCCTCTTAGCTAGGCAGTCTAGAAATGGTAGTTCACCGACGTCGGACTCTGCTTCCGAAGTAAACTGGATTCTGGGAGGTAGATTGTTTATTTTCTCCAAGAATGAATTGTGTAGATCTCGTTTTAGTACTACAAAAGTATCATTTACATATCTTAACCGTATTTTAGGAGTGAGTATGCTTCAAAAGATGTTATTTTCGAATCTGTTCATGGAAAGATCAGCGACTATTGGGGAATCTGGTGAACCCATAGCAACACCTTTTGTCTGTCTATATAAACTCCCTTTAAATGTAAAATAATTACATTCCAGATATAATTTTGTGCGTCGGTGGCATAGCGGTTAGGACGCTCGCCGACCATGCATATGGTCCGGGGTTCAATCCCCGACCGACGCACTCCTTTACCTCACTAAGCCAGAAATAATGCTGGTGAAGAGGAAAGGTTGGGCATGAGGCTAGCAACCCCATCCTGTAAAATAAACACTGCTACAGAAACTTCAAGCCACAAGCTTGAAGCCCTATGTTCCACTGGGGAACGTGAAGGAAAAAAAAGACATAATTTTAAGCTCTTAATTATTTCACTGGTGTCCAGTGGACGTCTATGTGATAGGGTTGTATCTGATTCTAGTAAACTGGAAATGATATCAAGACTTTGGCTAATGTGGATACTAGTATATAATGAGCTAATATCATAGCTTACCATAATATCTGTCTTACACTGACTGCACCAACGAGGCAGAACTGCGGTTTTTGAATACTACACAATGTATTTAGGCCGTCGTTAAGCTGCTTGTAACTATCACAATTCTGCATAGAAGTGAAAATTTACAGATTTCTTACTTGTTACTTAAAATTCCTATCATAGGGTAATTTGAATCCGTCCGAAAACATGAGTGAGAAGTGGAATGAATTCAAGAGTCAGACTGTCTATACTTTCAGTTTTCTCTGAACACAATGGTAGAAACAAATGCCCCAATTATAAATGAGATGATGACGAAACGATATTTTCTAAACTTCAGGGTTTTTTTTGGTAAATCGGAAATTTAGTTTTATCCGTTAGTATGGCACAAAGAACAGAAGTCGGATTTGCAACATGATTGCTAAGTCAGTTCTATTGTATGACTCAGAAACTCAGTGCGTGAGTCACGAATGGCATTTCCAACAGTCTGCCGCACACTTTCATCAACAGTTGCCTTCGCCCTATACTGAGGATCAGATGACTGGCCAGGAAGAATTGGCTACAAGAAATTCTGTATCAAACCAACCAAGAACCAATTGTTCAACAAATATCTCGAAGAAAATAGAGCTGGATAGGATACACTTTGGGGAGACCGCGCCTCGCCCTCTAGTGGAACCCTAGCGGAAAACTGCGAGTTGGGCGTCCGAGGGTTACATAGAGGGGATTGTGTGCGAAGGAAATGAGAGCTTATGGTTGTTAATCGTGGGGGGAAGCTGAAGAGGACTACAGATAACAGGACAACATAGAGATGTGCTGTTGAAGACCTTTATATTCCACTCGGAGCCCAAAATAATAATAATAGCAATTGTACTTGCGTTAAACGAATATTGGTTGGACTATTTCATCTTGAGTTTATATCAGTTACAGAACCATTGGAAAACCTGGGAGTACTTGACAGATGTTTCGTCATAGCTTGGGACTCTTCATCGGTACGCACTCGCCGGGGTTCGAACCACCATGATGAAATCCTCCAACCAATCAAACGAAATCCCTACAGAAACCAATACTTGAGAATTAAGCGAATATCACTTATGAAGCGATGATGTCTTGAGTTTAGGCAATATATTGTGTTTCGTAGCACAAATCAAGTACAATACTTTAGTTGTAGTTTTCATTTTTACAAACTGGTTAAGTGCTTATTTTGAAATGCTAATAAGGTATGTTTATGTATATAACTGGTTTTCTTTAATGTAGAAAAATTCCACTAACAGTTGACGCCTATCTAATTTTACTTTGTTTTCCTTTCCAGATTATATCAGTGGAAAAGTATCCTAGAGAAGTTGCCTATCTGTATGAAAAGTCTGGAAACTTTACAAAAGCTATGGAGTTATATGAACAGGTTCGATTAATTTTTTTATATCACTAAAAAATAAACTTATTTTGGCTCTTTTGAATAATTCCAATAATTAACTGAAAAGCACAGATAATTGAATGAAAAGTATTTAAATGAATTTTTACCTTTTTTAAGATACTTACATAGTTAACTTACCATATCATCTACACGGAGGTAATAGGGAATTATTTAATCACATAAGAAGAAAGACAATGATTGTTCTGAGTAAAATTCCAAATGTACACAAAATGCAAAATTAATTCAATAACAGATTGTGCATATACTGGTGCAAGGTAGTAACATGCGGAATCTTTATAAATCCGAATTATCAAGTTTTGGTCTACAGAGATTCGATTGGGTTTAGTTTTGTTCATGAATTGAACCATTGGAAACCTGGGAGTTACTGGACAGCTGTTTCTTCCTAGTTCTTGGACTCTTTGGTTAATAACCATCCATAACTCCACCATACCTCACCGTGTGTGTTGCACATTGGCTTAAGCACTCAACCTGCAGTCAAAGGATCCCGGGGTTCGAGTACCACTCCAGCTACCTCAGCCTGAGCAACTGGATAGTAGCATTAGCCCACACACACACAATTAGTGTGGCACACAGCGCGCCCAGTCCTGGGTAATTGTGCTCTAACAACCTAGAACCTTCGGGTTACATGGTAACTTCGTGTATCATTCAGCTACCGGGGCGGAATCCTTCGTAAACGCCTCTGCAAATCTCTGAGGAAAACATACTTCGCCGCTAGCCTACGACTGACGTTTTCTTGCAAGAAACTGTTCAGCCAGAACGCGAAAGGCAAGCTGTCGCATTGGGCCACTTCAAAGTGCGTATCCCAGTTAACTTGCTCGTGCGGAGCTGAGTACATCGACCGTACCATGCGCCAAATTGCAAAACGCGCTCGTGAACACTACCCAGCCTGGAATCCAATAGGTCAACAATTCTAACTTCTGACAAGTTGAGTGTGAGAACAAATACTCTCCGTTAACGTTGTCTACCTATCACGCTAAACACCTCGAATTGTCAGAAGTTAGAATTGTGGCACCATGGGATTCCATCTCAGCGGGTTCGAACCCTGGTGAGGTCATGGGGCTGCCTAAAATTCTCAAACAGTTGTCCAGTGTTTCCAGGTTTTCAATAGTCCTCTAACTGATCAACCCTGGAATGTGAATTACAATCCCTTTTTGCCAGTATTCAAAGGCCTAAGTTGATAACAAAAAACACGCTTAGAAATCTGAAATGACTGGTTGATTTTAGTCTTACACATGGCATTATTAGACTAACTTTGTTTTGCTGTTTTGTTTTGTTTTCTCTCTCACCTGCACAAAGAGAGGTATTCACAACCATGTAGAATAGAATAACGACTAACTCACTTCTGTGATTTTTTGTGGGTTTTTTTATTAGTAGCCGAAGATTATCATGGAATTTACTGTCTGCTTTTTTTCTTCCTGGTATTTAGCACCCGTTTCAGACCACTTCGATCGTAGGTAAAATTGGAATAAATTAACTGATGGACAGTAAAAATATAAAGTGTAATGAGAAATGAATACACCTTAACTACTTTAGAATTGATTTTCGCTACTTTGAATGCTGAATTCTATTGGTCAGTATCGTTAAAACCTGTGTACTATAGTATTTCTGTATGTAGAATTACAGCTACCATTAATTAAGTCAGATCATGTTTACTCAAATAATATTTGAAAACTTTGTCTAATTTAATATCTGTAGGTTTTTTCTGAAGCTTGGAAAAAGCTAATCAAAACGGAACATGAACTGGGAAGTAATTCTGCAGAGCTGACTTCTAATAATAATAATTGTAAACTGCATAATCCGGCAACAGGTGAATGTAATTCAATGCTACAACAACTTTATGCTGATGTTGAGCAAGCTAGTCAACGTCTTTTAAGCTTCTGTCAGCGTAGATGTGCACAAGCAAATAATCAATCAGAGATTGAAGTGAGTTCAATTATTTTAAGCGCATTAGAATTAAAGCAATGTCAGTTTTAATCAAGACATACTGGTCGCAGATTATTTATGGCTTGTTTTATGTAACCTATAGCAATTTATAGCAAATTAATGTGATGAAACAATACTAAGAAAATTGTTTATTATTATAGTTCACCGACTAGCTGCTGTATATACTTTCGCCATATTGTTTTTTCTATTCCTTTACATTCCCAGCGGAACACTTCAAGCTAAAGCTCAGAAGTTTCTGTAGTAGTGATGATTATTTTTACAGGATGCAGGGGTTGCTAACTTTATGCCCAACCTTCCCTCTTTACCATTCTTACTACTGGCTTAGTGAGGTAAAGGAGTGCGTCGGTTGTCGGGGGTCGAACCCTGGACCACATGCGTGGTCGTCGAGCACTCTACCGCTGTACTACCGACGCACTCACCGTACTGTAATGACAGTGAATTGATGTGCCATTCACTCTGTCCTCGTCTGTGCCTACTAGACTTAGCCATTGAAAGTGACAGATAGATGGATGTGAAAAGGGTAGTTGTATTTGACCACAGATATTTGCCTCCTCTCTCCCATGTTTAATGGTAATATTATATTATTATTATTGTTGTTCCCTTGGGTTCCTAGTGGAACAAAGGGCTTCAACTGCACGTCTCCACTTGCTTCTGTCTTCTGCTGTACTTTTCACCTGTGTCCATGTTAATCCGTACTGTTTCAATTCCTCTTCACACGATGTCCTCCATGTCACCCTCGCACCGACCACCCACTCGCCGCTTCCCTTTCGGGTTCCACTCGAGCACTGGCCTGACGCGCGATGTAACCCAGCTGCCTCCTCCTCAGCGAGTGTCCAATCCATCTCCACTTTCTCCTGCATATTTGTTGAGCGATTGGTTCTTGTTTTGTTTGTTCCCATAGTTTCTTGTTGGTGATTCTTTCCGGCTATCTGATCTTCAGTATAGAGCGAAGACAGCTGTTGATAAAGGTCTGCAACAGGCTGTTGGAAATATTCCTTGTGACCCGCCAAGTTTCTGATCCGTATAGAAGAACTGACTTGACGTTTGTATTGAAAATCCGAATTTTGTTGTTGCTGTTGAGTGGCGAAGATTTCCAGATTGGTTTCAGATTGATGAATGTGTTTCTCGCCTTCCCGATTCTCGATTTGATATCTTCGTCTGTTCCTCCTGTAGTTGAGACAATGCTCCCTAGATAAGTGAATGAAGTAACCTCTTTCAAATCCCTCCCGTTGATGGTGATTGGCGCTGGATGTTGCTGTTGTTGTTGTTGTTGGTTGGTTGGTTATTTTCATAACCTCCGTCTTGTCTATGTTCACCTGGAGTCCTGTCTTTGCTGCTACTGGGATCAGTTTGTCGGTTTTCGCTTGTAAGTCTTCGATTTTGTGTGACATCAAACATAAATCATCCACGCGCGAAATCCAGGTCTTCTAGATTCTTCACGTCGGTCCAAGATATCCCTGTCTTCTCGTTTCCCACTGTCTGACGCATAATCTAGTCCACCACAATTAGGAATATCATTGGTGATAATAAGCACCCTTGTCTGACTCCTGTGTTTACTTTGAACGCCTCGCTGAGTTTTCCGTTGTGGATCACTTGACATGTGCGGTTGTCGTACAACTGTTGAATAAGGTTGATGAATATTTGGGTTACGCCGTAGTACTTGAGTAGTTTCCAAATTACTTCACGGTCAACGCTGTCTAAGGCCTTCCCAAAGTCTATATAATGAGTAATGTTAAGGAGCTACATCGTCTGAGATGGTTAAGACACGTGTTACGCACGCCAAGTCACTGCTTTCTTCTTCCATTGGATCAGGTGGAGAAAACATGTCATCGATCCGTACAGTGTTTGACTGATGGTTTAAGCCAGTCACGAAGAGAACTATAGGTGCCTAGTTGATATCTTTGATACACTAAGAATCAATGTCTTGAAACTGTTGATGGTATGGCTCACAATGGTGCAGATGCATTCTCTCTCTATAAACTCCTAGATCTATTAAATTCTCATTATTCACCAGGTAATTATTCTTTTTACCGGACACTCGCGTTCATTATAGTTCCTTTCACTCTTTTTCTCTACTTGTGTGCTCTACGGAGTGTGACAACTTGATTTGATGCATTTTTGTGCAAAGTTGTAAGTTGAAAACTCATTAAGTAAGTCAGAACTATACAGCTGTTAGGACTCTCGCCGACCATGCACATGGTCCGAGGTTCGATCCCCCGCCGACGCACACCTGATATCTATGGTCGGCCTGCTAAATTTGGGCTACCGATATCGCATGCTGAAAATTTCATATATGTACCAAAAGTACGGTGTGGAATCAAGCTATAATAAAATTTAAGAAAATAAAAAAATAAAATAAAAATACTTCTAATTTCAGTATTCTAAATGCCTGGAAGGATCACTTTTACTGTGATTACCATTCGTTACACTGAATTGGGTAACTTGAAGATTTTTTTTATAAACCATTATGACTTTCCCCAGAATCCTACAATATAATCACATAATCAGGTTGAAATGGTCCTCATACTTGCAGTAAAATATATATTATTATCCATGTGAGCACCATCCAGCTCTTTCCTTCGCCAGCCTATTTAAAAACAAAATCTGTGTACCACACACACACACACACACATGCCTTCCTAAATTATTCTGGTCTCAAGTTTTTGACATTTTATTGAGTAAAATTATGTGTTAACTTCTGCTTCCTTATATTATTATTATTATTATTATTATTACTATAGGTTATATGGTTCAGCGTAGTCGATTTACTTATGAAGTGCGAATTCCTTCAAAATCATCCTGTGTTAAATGCCTACTTGAGTGGCATATTTTACAGTGCCTTCTCACTAGTCATGACTTATTTGCCACCAGCTACTATTGTATCGCATATCTTGAATGTAAGTTGACAAGTTGCGCAACCGTTACATCATTGTTTATAAATTGAATTAAATTGTTAAAATGTTGTCCCCTTCATTTGCTTTTATCCTTTACAACAGTCTTCAGCAGGGGATAGATAGTCTTACACTTGTTCAGAATATACCTCCTTTTATATTTTGCACTGAACAGTGGAGTTTATTTTTCTGTTTCTTATAACCCTCCGTTGAAATAATACCTCTGTTCTTTGTTGTTGTTTGTTCGCTATGTTTTCCCACCTAGCGATTGAAACGTTCAGTCCCCTCCCCCGTAAAGTATGGTGGAGGTATGTAGATGACATATTCACTGTACTTAGAACACAGATTTTTTGAACACATTAACTCAAAATTGAAGGCATTTCAATTCACTTATGAATTAGAAAGTCAGGAAGGGGAACTTCCAATGTTAGACTGTAGCATAAAAAGGAAAGAAGATAGGAAGTTAAACACTAGTGTTTACAGGAAACCCACATATTCAAACAGATATTTGGACTTTCCATCATCCCATCCTATGTCAGTAAAAATAGGATTGGTGGAATGTTTAAGTAATAGAGCACAAAAACTAAGTAGTACCAAGGAAAATCTGAGACAGAAAGTGAGGCATATAAGAGAAGCTTTGGAACTTAATATTTACCCTGATAAATTAGTCAGAAAGTATGTAAGGAAATGTAAAAATAAAATAAATAATGATAGTAGTGGTAGTAATAATGATAATAATAATAATAATGATAATATTAACGACGACATGCATGTCAAACATGTGCAAGACAACACCAACAATAAGGAATCTAAATCATCAGTAGTAATTCCATACAAGGAAGGAACCTTGGAAACCTTACGCAGAATTCTTAACAAGGCAGGAATAAAAGTGGTATTCAGAGCCACAAACTCAATTAGAAACAAGCTTTGTGGGGCCAATTAAACAAAATAATTTAGTTTATCCAATACTCTGCTGAAATGATTGTCAGGTCAAATTCATACATAGGTCAAAGTAGCAGAACAGGTGCAGTCAGACTAACGGAGCACAAAAATCTAGCAACATCTATTTTAGTTGAGCCTAGTAAGATAAAAAAAAATCTGGAGAATTGTTCAGCTAAAACACTCACTACAGGCAGTTACACACAACCATACAATAGGATGGATGGGATAAGATGAAAGTTTTAAAATCTAATGTAACAGCAGGGTGGAGGAAGAGATTGATAATGGAAGCTTTGTTTATCGAATCAACTGCAAATATGTATAATAGGAATGATTCAACACCTGTCCATTCGGGCATCGGTAAAATTCTACCACAGATGAGCAGATTTAAATTCATTTTTAAGGTCTATGACAATTGATTTACTGTGAGTGGGTTGGGATAGTGAATATGCTCATCTTTATATTTATGTAACCGAACCATAACATCAACAACGATTATGTTGCTTCCTCAGGATACTGAGCAACCTCCATGACAGTGGTAAGGACACTCATATGTATAATAGGCTAGAAAATGGTTAACCAGCTTTTCTTAGCACAATTGTATAGTACAATTACCTTCATCACTCTAATTACTATTGATCGATTGAAATGAGTAGATGAATATCACTCATATCAACTAGTTAACCTTGCTGGCCGCATCAACATGATCTAAACACCGACTGGCCGTTTCGCCTGTTTGAGCCCCATCGATAGCTGCTACCTTGATGTGGTGGTCGGGCTTGCACATCGCAATGACCCAACAAGCTACACTGGCTGGAAATATTGTTCCTGCAGATCCCAGGAATGTTGTTAGGATAGAGATTAGACTAAAAGCAGTTACCGGTATAGTGTAAGAATTTTCTTTTATGCTATGTCGGGGGTCTGTGGGCGAAGTCGTACTGCTGGGGAAGAGGGATGTAACAGCAGTAAGGTGTCTCACTCAGATGACCAACATGCCAGCTATGCTGTCTCTCCACCGTGGAGAGAGGGTTTAGAAAAGGTCAACCCCAACAATTGTACATCCCGACTTATCCTACGGTGGTCCGTAACCGGTGGTAAGTTTACTCATACGGAACCAAACCGAAAAAACAGTTCATACAGGCCGTGTGTGACCGGCCTCAAGCAGTTGTCCCCTGGGCTCTACAGTCACGCAACCCTAACCCTGTTCTGTTCAGAACCCGAAGAATCAATCAACTTCGATGGTGTGGGCAGCCGGGAAGTAGCAACCGCCCACACACTTCCTGTTTGCGGCTTAGCTCACCAGCGGTGTACACGTAGTCTTTGCTCGAGCTTAAAAACATCACTGGTTCATGTGAGTGGTATCCAGCTACTCATCTCGATCAATCAGCATAATACCATAGCATGACGCATTTATGCTTACTTTCTTGATTAACGTTTATGGTATTAAGCGGATCAGATATTGTGACTCATTCACTTCACGCTTTTAGTCATATAAGTGAAGTTTTAAAATGTCACGACTTGATTTATTTTGTCACCAAACGCATACCTGCTAGAATAACTTATAAAGTAAAGATAGCTAGAGAGACGTTTTGTGTGTTACTTTCGTACTCTTTACTAGTACATTCCCATAATCCTTCGAAAGGTCGAACACAGACCCGTTACTTCTTGCGACAATTAGTTAGAGAGCACTTAAATTTCGTCAGCTATTTCATTTATTTACTTGTTGGTTGCGTTATGATATTAATGATACTGGGAAAACTATGTTATCACTTGATGTATGCTCACTTTTTACTAATGTTCCATTAAATCAAACTGTGCGCTTCATTTGTAAATACATAGGCTTACGTAATGTAAACATAGGCATGCTTACCTCATACCTAAAAGAGCTAATACTTCGATGTACTCTCTATGGGCTCGCCACTTGGTCCGTTGGTAGCAGAGTTCTTTTTGGCTACTATGGAGAGCAGTACTCTCACACCTGCTATAAAGGGGCTTAACTTCTACAAAAGATACGTGGATTACACGTTCATTATATGCGACGAGAACTGTGACTTGAATGACATCCTGAAAGTATTTCATTTATTGTATACGAATTATTCCTTTGGATAACTCATTCTGGTGGTTATGATTTCAGAAAGGAAATTAGGAACTTGTTCCGTCATGTGTCTTAATAGAATTAAAGCGCGGTGATACTTTCCGCTAGTATATGTTTAATAAGTGTCAAAAGCAACCGTGATATTGCTTGATTTCTATCCAGATAAACCGTATCAGTACACCGAACCTATAGCTTATACTGCGTAGTTGTTCGCTTTGCCTTACTTTATATGTTCACATTAATTGGGAGGTAGTGAACAGAAATCACTGGCGTTATTGTATTATGACGAAAGGCAGTAGAGTGCCGTAGGACAGGAGTACAGAAGATGGGGTAAATAGAGGAGAGTAGTGTTGTTATCGTGATGAATATAGAACACAATGAAGCTGTGTCGCTACTACTGACTCTAGACGCTATCACCTGTAAATATAGTTCCTGTGTCCCAGGTAAGCCAGCTCAGGCCGTTAGCAAGTGACTTCATACGTGATTGCTGCTGCCTTGGTGCTATCAAAACCCGTGAAAAATAGAAGGTTGGGTCTGTTAACCCAACCCGTCGCTAGTGAAACTTCAAAGCACAGAAAAAACGAAACCATTGAGTTACCAGAATAAAATTACGCTTCATAACTTGACTCAGGGCCCTATGGATCACAGGGTCATCTATATACAATCTGAAAATGTATGAGACTCATGCATCATTTTGCAGTATCTCCGTTTAAGATGCTCTAGCAAGCTGTCATCAAAATGAGAGGCTCTTTTATATGCGCATAATTGCAGCCTGGATCATTTATTAGATCTATCAAACTTCTGCTTATTCGTGTTTTTACATTTAATGTCGAAATTTATAAATATCTCGACTTTCTGTCGCACGTGTGTTTCATTTCTCCAGAGCTAAAGAGTGCGGGTTTTTTCTGACTTGTGCCACTTTCTTGTCATATTTCCGCATAATAGATGGATGGTACACAAACCACAATGAATTTAAAAATTAATTTACTGGTGAAGAAGTTTATCTCGGCTTGCCAGTTCGAAGCAAATCAGATGGTGCTAAACAAACGGTTAGCAGGTCAAGAGTTAACTATCAAGCAATTTCGAATATTTACACAGTACAAATGTGGTTTCAGTAATCACATCCTTATCTGTTCATTGTGTGGACTAGATCTTCGGAGGAACAATTTACTGACTAGACGAAACTGGAAGACAAGTGTAATCACCAATGGTGACAAACCTTCGAATCCAAATCGCCTTGTAGTATTCCAGTAAGTTGTTATTATTTGTCATTGTTCTGTGCTTTACTTTACCGTGTGTGTAATATCGTTGTATCCTTTGAAATGCTAAAAAGCAATCAAGTGGATAGCTCAACAAAACGAGTCTTCAAATGACGATTACATGGTCGAGTGTGTGCGTCGGTGGCACAGCTCACCGACCATGCACATGGGTTCGGGGTTCGGCCCGCCGAATTCGGGCTACCGATATCACATGCCGAAAATTCCATAATTGTATCGAAAATACTGTGTGGAGTGTGGAGCCATAATAAAACAAAATTTAAATTTAAAAAATAGCTTCAGTGTGCTCATGTGACATGGTCTCCCATGTGACCGAAATCGCTATCCCTTGCTTTACATCAGTATCATAGCCCCAGGTAAACTGTGTCAACTCTCGATATTACAAATGCTTTACAGACAAAACAGTCAAAATATGTTATGACATACTTTTTGGTTTGTAAATGATTATGCCGCCAACCTGTTAATAGAAGATTGTTCCAATTTTTTCTTGTCTTATCAAGCTGTCCGTCAATACTGCAGAGATTTATGTCTTCGGATAAAAAGTGCCTTGATAGCACAAACTCTTCTGTTTTGTCTCAATCAAGTGTATTTTGACTGACAAATCACCTTTCAAAAAAAGGTGCATCAATTCAAGCTGCCATACTTTTAAAAAGTACACATGCATACACAAAACTTGAATTATACTACTATGAAGAAATAATTAGTCCGTGAATGAAACTGTTAATTGTTTTGAAGATTATGAATACATTTAGAGCTCTTTAAAAAATTTTGAATCACTTCACCAGTACTTACTAGTAATTATCTTAGCATTCTGCTGACTCTCGCCAGACAGACTGTGTGGTTCAAACTAATTAATAAGGATCGCTGCTACCGTAGTTCCACCTGAATACGTAGAAAAAATTTCCAGCCTTAGCTTAATTTAGTTAACACTTCCTGACACGGAAGTAAGTGAGTGACTCAGCGTAAGGAACATACTTTTTTTATTCCTTCACGTTCTCAGTGGAACATAAGGGCTTCAAGCTAAAGGCTTGAAGTTTCGGTAGCAGTGGTGTTTATTTTTACGGGATGGGGTTGATAGCCTCATACCCAACCTTCCCTCTTTACCAGTCTTATTACTGGCTTAGCGAGGTAAAGGAGTGCGTCGGTTGCCGGGGATCGAACTCCGGACCATGTGCATGGTCGGCAAGCGTCCTAACCGCTGTGCCACCGACGCACATGGAATATATAAATACCAACTATATTGGCTAGTGGAAATTAGTTACTTTCTCTTTAGTTAAAGCTAAATCTGACTTTGATAATAATTTACCCTATGGGTCAACTGCAACGTTTTCTATTAGTATCTAAGGGAATAGTAAAAATAGTTGGCTTCGCCTTATCATCACAGTGTAGATATTGCTTCATCCTATATTCCACGCATATTTTTCAAGCCCAATGAACCTTTTTACCCTACCCCACCCCACCCTCTCCTCCGAATGATGTTGTTGAATATTTGTACATCATAGTTGAGTGCAACAGGAGACACTACCCTGTTACTTGTTCTTACAACTAACTCTAGTCACTTTTGGTTTTTAGATGTCATCATGCATTTCATGAAGAATGTCTTCAAGAATGCAAAGGTACTGCACAAACGTCTAAGATTCAATTTTGGTCGTGTTTAATATGTCGACCTACAAGTCATACTCCTGGAAATAAAAATGACTATTGTAATAATGGCGTCACACCACAATCAGATGACATTCGGCTAGACAATCCTCCAGTTGCCTCATCTGAGGAAAATTCCAATAGTCTACTGTTTTAGGGTAAGTGGATTAGTTGTCTTTTATTTATCTTTCACCTCGCTGCATCTTATCCAAAGGGCTTCATAATCTACTAAACGATACGACAACTGTCTTTGCTTTTTATTATTCTCAAAACTCTAGATACCATAATATTGTCTCTAGTTTAAACAGAGGTGCCAAATATGTTCGGTGTGCCTTCCTTGATTACACATCTGCCTTCGACTGTGTACTTAGGCCTCTTTTGTTAAACAATCTTGTTGCGCAGTGCTGGATTAATAAGTGGTTGCATTCCTATTTTTCTGTTAGGAGGCAGTACATTGTTTACAATGGGAATTCCTCCACTGCTTCACTTACGCTAGCTGATATTCCTCAGGGAGCTGTTCTTTCTCCTTCTCTGTTTTTCTTCTTCTCACATGACTTGTCCCACTCTGACGAATCCAATTGTGTTAAATAAGCCGATGATCTGACTGTTTCTATGCCTGTTACTTCACAGTCAGACAGTTCCAAAATGAATAATTTTTTATCAGAAATTAGTCAGTGGTCCTCATCAAATGGTCTTAGACTTAATCCTTCCAAATGTCAGGTGTTTACTCTCACTGTCAGACGCAAGCGCGACTCACATGACCTGGTAAGTTCTCATGGTTCCACTATCGTAGATGACACAGAAGCTGAAACTAAATCGAATATTAAGTACCTTGGACTGAGTATTTCCTCAGATCTTTCTTGGTCTTCCTACATCATGTTAGATTCCAGGAAGGTATTTCGTTTGACGTTCTGTCTAAGGAAGTAAAGATAATCAGGTGTCGCTCAGTTTAATGTCTACTTTTACAGTTTCTTAATATTTATATTCTACCTATTCTTCTTCATTGCTTCCCATTTGTCTGTCTGTCTGTCCATCTCGTTTCAACATAGATCCTTGCACCGATGTGCAGCAGTTCGAGTCGCCACACTTCACTCGGCACACAAAGCCAGAGAGAAAAGTAAAAAGAAAGGCAAAATAGAGACAGTAAACAGAGATATGAGGCAAAAAGAATAGTAGTATTGAAGAACAATATAGTTTTATTGGGTATTATGAGTCACAAGGAATGGATGCATCTGCGCCATTGAGGACGATTTTCAGCCATATCACCGATTGTTTCCAGTCACTGGTTTTTACCGTCCCGAGTAACCCCAACAAGCCAGGAAGCCAGTCTACACTTCCTACGTTACTAGCTTAACTAACTGTTGTGGATTTCGTTGACTGGTACCATGTTTGGTTGACCACCACTAACTCTTTTCCAGCCTGACCCTATGTCAGCTAACATTGCCCGTCGAGGAAGGCGATGACTAGGTATACGTAACACATGTCCCAACCATCTCAATCGGTGTAACTCCACAGTCTCGTCCCGAGAACCCCAACCAGTCAGGAAGTTTACACGTTCCGACGTGGCTGGCTTAAACCAACTGTTGTGGATTTCACTCACTGATGAAGCCATGTTTTGTTCTGAACACCACTAGTCAACTCTTTTTCAACCTGAACCTTTCTATGTCAGCTAACATTGCCGGTAATCGATGAAGGCAATGGATGGCTAGGTATGCATGCGTAACACATGTCCTAACCATCTCAGTCGATGTAACTTCACAGCCTCGTCTATTGATTTCCCCTCCTTACCTAGCACTTGACCGATACCTAACCTCAATATTGCTTACCCTATTACCCCTACCACCTAACATGGGAGATGGAACGCAGGCACCTATGATCAAAGACAGCTAGCTAGGCTTTTCATGTCTTCCACTCAATGGCCAGGTCTCTCTCACAGCCATAAAGGAGGACGGAGCGGACTGCTGAGCAGTACACCCACCCTTTGGTCGATAGCCAGCCGGATATCACGTCTGCCCCAGAGACGGCGTAAACTGGTATATGAGAAATGAGCCTTCGGTATCCGTGCTGAGATATCATCAGCGATCAACCCGTTGGCGCTGGCTGATGCAACTTCCCAAACAAGTGAAGTGGTCAACGTGCTCTGCCACTTCATTGCCTATTTCTTAGCTAGGAGTCAATGTAGTCCAGTCCTGTAGCCTCATCATCGTACATTTACCGGGAGCGAATCGCATGCCAAACATTCGTAGATTGCAATTCAAAGTGTTCAGAAGACTGCATTTTGTCAGCGTCTTCACCTAGGAGACTGGACTATATCATCTGCATATTCTAAGTCAACGAGATTATTCCCTGATGGTAACAAGTCAATCTCTGAGTCGCTGAAGTCACTTAGGGTTAAGTCCATTAGTACATCTATGGTGAAATTAAACAGAAATGGAAATACTGGTGGACATCCCTGACGGACACCACTAGTTGTCATCACTTCAGATGACAACTCGCCGTAAGCTCTCACCTGGCTGACTGCATGAGTTCGAGTAGAGTGAGTGTCTTGATCAGTGTGATTTATTGCCTCGGCATTCCTTTCACAGCCAAACATCGCCATAGTACCTCTCGGTCGACAGAATCGAATGCCACCTTTAGGTCAAGAAGTTTAACGATTGTTGCACACCGATAAGTATGCCTATGTTCCAGAATCTGTCGGAGGGGGAAAGTGTGGTCAATACACCCTCTTTCTGGTCTGAAGCCTGCCTGGTTCTCTGCTATTTGTTCTTCCCGATCACCACTTAGTCTACGCATGATTATTAAGCCTAGAATTTTAGATACCATATTAGTCAAACAGCCTTAGTAACCTCAGTTAGGTACGGAGGACCTGTGTCTATATCCCATTCAGGGAGGTGTTGGATGTTTGGTAAATTGAGCGCGGCTTTAGGCCAATTACACTGCTTCTCAAAGTTCTTTCCATCGTTCGAGTCATCTAACCTGGGAGCTAATTATAGTGCCACTTTTCTAAGAAATTGTTTCACTTATCATTTGCCTTTTACCACCTGTTTCACTGATAAGTATAAATAGTTGTCTGGTGTTACCAATCGCCGATGCCTTTTCCGTCTCTTTCGCTTTTGTCGCTCACCACTGTTCATGATCGTTACGAAGGCTTCTTGTTAGTTTTCGTTTGAGTAGCTTTCGCTCCTCATCATAATAGGAGCTCGCAGGAATCAGTCTTCTTGCGTCAATCAGTTCGGATGAGGTGGTAGAGATCTAGTGGCTGTTACTGACTTTAGGTTTCAGGTTATTAACAGCTCTTACAGTCGTGCCTACAGCTAACTGTATGTTGTGCCAGGAAGGGGGAAGTCCTGCTGACGACCTTAGATACACGTTCCACTATTTCTTCCTTCAATAGGGATTCAGAGTCTCGATCTAGTTGGAGACGTAACTGTTTCGCTGCCAATAATTTTTAATGTCTGTTTAAACGTAAGCATAAACGTGCGCGAATCAGAGTCTACGCACGTGCTCCAGAAGGATCGGCAGTCTTCTACTGACCCTCGCCAACGATACCCTATCGCTATGTGGTCTATCTGTGTCCAGCGTTGATTTAGTGATGGAGGTCGCCAGGTTACGCAGTGTCTCTCTTTGTGCCTAAAGTTAGTGCTGACTAGGAACAGATGATTATCTGAGCAGAACTGTAGACGACGATCACCGTCGTCGGTTTGTTGGCAGAGAACTCGATACGTGCCACCTACATACTTCTCAGTCTGGCACAACTTCCCTACTTGAGCATTGAAGTCTCCTGTTAAAACAACTATATCTGAACGTTTTGCATTTTGCAACAAATTAGACAGTTTCTGATAAAAATCATCCTTTAGTTCATCCGAAATGCAGTCTGTTGGGACGCAAGCGGAGACTATGAAAAGACAACGACGGGTAACGCTGTCCTTCCTTCTTCTAACGGACCCGTTCAGACGAACTGCACACATACGACTATCTACTGGGATCCAGTCAAGAAGTGGCTTTTCTGCCCTAATAGTCAATACTGTACAACCTAGTTCTTCTGAATAACAGCATGAAAATCTCTTCTTTCGGAGTTACAATAGCGGTGCTTGTTTCGTAGCTGCAGTCGAATAGAAGCTGTTTTCAACTTCATCATGAGTCACAGGTTATTATGGTAGTTCAGTTCTTTTATAGGAAGAACCTATGAGTATCGCAGACTTGGAAATATTCCTACTATCATTCCGGGACTAACTACATTTTTATGATAATGTTCGCATTTTATCCGTTCACATTACTTTCACTTCACTTATGACTGCAAAACTTATTTATGAAGACCCACTAAGATAGGAACTGCGCAGTGACTTCCTTTTTCTCTTAGTGCTTTTAAACAAGTTTATCTTTATTTATTGGGTGAGAATTTTGTACATGGAGCCTTACACAACTATGAGCTTCCAAACGTCATGCTATGTGATATTAGACCTAATACGAATTTCGTGGGAAATCAGACTTGTGTGTCACTGTCGAAACTCTGGTCTTGTGTTATAAGAACTTCTCACTTTAGAAAACATTTCTGAAGAACTTTTTTTATTCCTTTACTTTCCCAGGGCTTCAAGCTAGAGCTTTGAGGTTTCGGTAGCAGTGCTTTTTTCTTAATTTTTTACGGGATGAGGTTGCTATCCTCATGACCATCCCTCCCTCTTTACCGGTCGTATTACCGGCTTAGCGAGGTAAAGGAGTGCGCCCATGGCCGGGGGTCGAACCCGAAGTACGTGAGGCGTGGTTGGCGAGCATCCTACCGCTAAGCCACCGACGCTTTCGAAAGAATACACTATATGATTTCACGTTAAAAGTACTCAAACAAGAGGTGTCCACTTAATTTTGGTGTATTATTCTGAATCAGTTATTCTTTTTTAAATTTCTAGACTCAAACTGGTCCGTGCATAATACACGCAAAACTGCATGATCCTTTAAAGGCTCTCCTTGTCTCTCATCACAATAGAACGGGACTATGGATTCGTGTACGCAGATAATGATGTGTGTAGAGCTATGCAACGAACACACCTGTGATAAATTTTTCGAATCTTATATAATACACTTCACTAATTTTACATGCTGATTTGCGATTTCTCCATGTTACTATAATTATATTTGTTTGGTTTTTTATCCTTGTATATGTACATCAAAACTTACAGGAAAATAAATTACTTGAATACTCTTTTTTATGCTTGGATTTCTTTCTGATAACAAGGTAAATATTACGCTATGCAGGACGTTAAGTTCTCATACTAATAAATCTTCCACATGTCGTCAAGCTGGTGTCATGATCTCGAATGCTACAAGTGCAAATAATGACTGCTTCTCCGGTTTTAACACAAACGATATCCTAAAATGTCTTAAATCCTTAAAACCTATCCAGTGGTCCCTTGGTCCCGATGGGGTACCAGCTATTATCCTCAATAAATGTGCTGACATTTTATGTTATCCTCCCACTGGTATTTTCAATGAACATTGTGCCTGCTTCTTGAAAGGTCTCTGTCTATATCATCACGTGGACCAAGTGTTAAGTTTAGACCCATTGCCGTTGCCTTACCTTTCTGTAACATAACCTTGAATCTTCAGTGAAGTCTTTTAACAACCCTAATCAATTTGCTTATAAACATAGTAGGTGTACTGTAGATACCATAATACTGTCTCTTGTTTAGACAGAGGTGCCAAATATGTTCGGTGTGCCATAGTGTTATGCAGGTCAAGGTTGCAGTGAGTGTGGTGATCTGGTTTATTCAGGTTAAAGTCGAGTTCTTTAGGACTTCACTTTCATACGTCCGCCCAACGATAATTCTGCGGTTGAAAGACAACAAAAGCTGAATTATCCGAACATGACTGAAGAGTTGAATTCAGGCTCATTCACATCCTCATAACAATTCTTTGTGCTTATGTTTTCACGCTTAGAAAGCTACCCTATTGCTTATTTGCTGTAATATACAATCTCTACAGCTTGAAATATGCTCCAAATGGAAGCATCACTCATCTGTCTACCATAAATCTAAAGTATATATTAAAACAGAGACTATGCAAGCATCGGTAAGAATACTTTGAAGACAAATGAATAGAGTATTCCACGAAATCCAGTTCACCACAATTATTATCACCTTATCTAGTGTATCAGCCTAGCGCTGCTTTCCGCGCATACTTGTAGTCAGGGCCAAGATGGTCGATATGAAAATAGTAGGAAGTTAGGTAGGTAATGGAATGTGGTTCATTGCTTTAACAGTTTGGTTTGCAGCCAACTGTCACAGACTCGACTCCCACCCCACCTTACTTAAGCCTCAGCAACTGGGTAGTATCACCGCCCTTGGACAATAAGTGTGGCTCTTAGTCGGGTACATGGAACATCTGCTCCGGGAAATTAAGTTCAAACAACAGAAGGTAGTCGACCTTAGATTGCTTTTTATGTGAGATTATAATTGACGTACACTGTCATGCAACACATTTTATATCTAGTGTACTTTACGCATTGAATGTAAGCGAAAAGGGATCCTATATCGGTTTAAACTGATAAATGAACCTATCATACATCTCACATGCTTGTCGCTGATAGACCGAGAATATTAGTACCCATAAAACAAATACAAATAAGAATCTGAGCTAAACAACATCTGAAAATATTTCAACAAATGTATCTAATGACATCATAATTGCATTAAAATTATATACAAAGAGTGATAGTTATCTTTACGATACAATTTACTGTCGTTTTTCCTAATAAACGCAAAACAACGGCAACATATTTTTGTGTGATGCTTCGGATCACAGTAAATGTACAAAAATTAAAAGAGAATTTACAATCTTGTCATCTGTACCACGTATCTTATTGCCCCGGAGTTCGTTATTTCGCAAACAGTAGCTTGAAACACACCTTGATCTTCGATAAAATTTAGCCAATCAAACATGCTACCTCCCGGTCCATAAGAAGCTTTGCAAGCTAATAATACAATTCCATTTCGACTTAAAGTGGTTTCGAGTATTTCATGTAGTCTTTCATACAAATCTGAACGGTAAATTGTCTCACTAGTAAATATGTATTCGAACTTCACGTCATTGTTCAGCTGCCAAGAGCGCGATAGATGACACCAGTCACCACTAAAAAACTCCAAAGTACTTCGTTCTCCGTGGTTTCCTGCTTCATTGTGTGACTTTAAATTGATATTTACATTAGGGATTGTCCACCACTTCAAGACTTCAGAATTATAGTCCTGTATACATGAGGAAATCGGTGAAAACATCAGCAGTTAAAAATACATATAAGATAAGCACATGGTGCGAAAATCCTTCAGAAATTCCAAGTTTATCATGTTAAAATATCAGTGGAAGCAACACTTTATTCAGAACTAAGGAATGGTTGATGTTGCATTTTGCAATGACTGATGTTTTTCTAGCTGTTGCAAATTTAAGTTTCCCAGTGAAGCAATTCATAGTGAAAAATCATTGTAGTTAAGCATTGATATACCTGTAAATTACATACCTGAAATCTTACAAAGCGAGCACCAGCCTTGACAGCCAATATACCAGGTAGTCCACACCCACAGCCCAATTCTAATACGTTCTTACCATTTAGTTTTTGCATAAAGTGTTTGAAAATATAATGAACAAGATCCCGGCTACCATCCCACAAAGTAAATCCGCCTTCGATGAGACCAGGCTTGACATCTTCATGAGTTTGAACAGCACCAAATACACTGAGTTCTTCCTGTTGATCATTTTGAAGTCCTCGCAGATAATCTTCGAGTGCGTTCTGATCAATATAGTACAATCCTACAATAATATTTATTTTTGACGCTACTTAATGAATTGGTTGGCATTACTCTTAAATATACTGTCACATCAAACCGCCAAAAGTAAGAGTAACAACCATTTAATTTCACCCCTGACGTCATACATGTAGCACATTGAATCCCATTTTCTAATGTGACAATAGCTTTACCCCTTATTCTGACTTATATAACAACTCACAAGGGTTCTATTTTGGCCTTCCAGGTTACCATTATTTTAAATCTGTCTTTCTCCTCGTGTCCAATAGCCTACTTTCCAATAATTATCTTAGGACTTTACTTATAAAATGCCGTGAAGACAGCTTATTTGTATGAGGTCTCAAATCCCAACCAACCTACTTCAGCTATAGAGACTGGCTAGTAGTACCACCCTTTACACAATATCCTAGTACGCGATAAGTCGTATACTGAGTGAATGAGCGGGGTTCTAACTTTTAGCTACCCACTTGATTTTGGTATATCTGCTAGACTGCGTAGTATCATTGTAGTGATTTTCCTACTAAGAGGAACGAAGACCGAGTAACCAACGTTGTAAAATTCACACACGGCTGAGTTGTATCTACCGTACAACACCCGATCAAACAACTTAATACCCAATAAGATTGAAGAACAGGACGTTTGGTTGATCATCATACAGCGGAAATCATTCAGAAGTTTTACAAGCACTCAAGAGAAACTATGCTTCAAGCAAATGGCTACCATATTATGCATATATGGTAGAGACAATGTAACTTACTCAAATCGTTTGAAACTTCCTGCACATTTATACGTAGGTTCAAGACATTTTCGTTACCTGCGGAACATCAGCAGTATTTAATCAACTTACCATCGTCTAAAGTAAAAGACTGCACCGAGTCTGAATACACTACAGTACTGTCACTTTTTCTTTCTTCCTTTTTAGTATCCGGATAAAAGTTGAACTCAAACTATAAAAAAATGCATTGCAATTTGAGAGTAAATGTAGGCACTATAACAGATAATTAATAACGAGACGTTTGCTATGGCAAGACACTTCGCAACGAAACATAACTCAGTGATGGACTTTGTGGGGAAAGAAAAGGTAGAGTTTATGTTGTGGCAGCGATGGAAACATCTGTATAAGAGAATTCTTGCCACAATTACAGACTGTTCACCATCTTGTCCGCCTGCTACTCTGCTAACAGTTCAGAATATTTCCCGTTGTCACTTGTATTTCAAATGGCTTCATTAAACAGTAATTATGTAATGCAATCCAAGTTTTATTTAACTTCATAAAATCATAACACCCGTTTTCCTTAGTTCATTTTCCCACCTGTTATCTGTGATCATGACTCGTGAACATTGTGACCTGCACTGAAAATAAGGCCCCTACATGTTGTTGCCTTTTATCTAAATATGTATGACACGCATTCATGTGATCAGAATGCCCAAGCGTTGCGAAAAGACTACACTTCTCAGATACATTATACTTTATTGTTTTATCGAAATCTACAAAGAACCAATTACTGGGTCAGTCGTGATGAAAACACGATAGGCCCCAAAATACAAGTATCATTGCGTTAAAAATCCGTTATCAAAAGCCGGAAGGCAAAATTAAGAGATAACAGTGATTAATGCGATGCACAAGGCAGATACACATAGTATCATTTACTGAGCTTGTCGAAAACATTAGGTATTTGATTAACGCAAAGCCTATGGCTGTCTCTTTTTCTCATTCCAGATAACAATGAAAAAAATGTCCTTTAAAAAACTGAAAACTCAAGCAAATGGGGGAAAGCGTTTAGCAAACACCTGCCTGAGACAATAAAGTGAGAGCTGTGATAAATCGCTAAATTATCGGCTGTAGTTAAAGATGATAGCTAGTCTTAGCACATTTCTTTTGCCACTAAAAAATTCTATGCTGCATCAACCTTTGTCGAGACAAGCTGGTGGAGCTTTCTGCATGATGAAAACCAATATTTATAATTCGTGATCTATATCACTACGGATTGATCAATGATGACAAGTAAACGTTTACGTACATTATAATCTCAGCTGTGAATGGAATGATTACAACTGCTTCCTTCTCACTACAGAGATAAACAACAAAGGCTGGAGCTATTTTTCCAGTTCTAGCTATAGGGATTATAGTTTTTTGTTCTCCGTGTATCCATGTGTCGACTTTTGGCAGGATACTTTGGAACTGTTGTACAAACAAATGCTCTTACGCACATCAGTGGTAATTATCCATACGTTTAGCCACACACCAGTTAGGGTGACTCACTTCTGCTTATTCATAAAGTAAACACGATGAAGTTAAACGAAAGCACCCACCTCAATAAATGACCCTTGACAACTAATCAGACCGGTTCTTATTTCTGATACTGTTTTATCAATCTACTCCTAAATCCCAACCCTTCCAACAGGGCAGATATCCTATCCGACTTCCTACCATACGCATGTTTTTGTAAATCCAATAAATCTACTATTTACATTCGATCTTCCTGGGTCTCATTGGGAAGATTCACAGCACATGTAAATTTGATTCGATTATACATGTGAACCTAGTGAGTTTTCAAATTCCATGTAGAGGGTTAGCTTTTATATTTTAACTTTTCCATAAACATACATGCCAGTTATATAACAGGCCTTTTAATACGAAAATCGACCGTTTTGAAGTGATATACCATGTCGACTGCACGTTACGTCGTCTTTATATATTGCGGTTACAATATCCAATATCGTTTTTACGAGCTAGTATAAACCAATTTCATTTCTTTGTGCTCGCCTCTTGATTGTGAGGTAGAGGTTCCTGATCTTCGGTAAACGTCTGCGTAGCTCGTCCCACCACTCGACTGCCGTAGCTTTGGTTGACTCCAAAAGGAGTAGTGCAGGTATTAATTATATGTAGTTTGTAGTATGAGGTGTGTTAAGACTGTTACTACTGTGAATGGAGTTGATCCTTTCACCAGTTGGTCCTTCGGTATCGTCGTCAATGGAAAAGAGATAATAATAATAGATATAATTAGTGAAGGTATTCAGACTAACAGACAGAAAAAGAATGAGAAAACGTAACAACAGTCAGTCAACCGGTATATATATATATATACCAGTAATAATGATAATAATAATAATAAAGGTGTAGTTAAAGCTGTCAGGAGAGTAAGACGGAAGATAATGTAAAGAAGTAAAACGACCAGTTTAATTGTCTACCTTTGAATGGTGTATGCGAATTTAAGGGGATAGGCCATTTGGATGAAGTCCTTGTGTCGCTGCATGGTTGTCCAGCCTTCGCTTAAAGGCGTCCACAGACGGTGCCATAGCTACATCTGCCGGTAAGGAGTTCCAGGGACGGCAAACCCGCAGGGAAAAGAAGTGGGAGCGCACCCGGGTTCTTGCCCTCTGATGAGCTATCCTTCTAGGATTTCCACGAGGGAGCCTATGCCTACTCAATGGCAGAACACCTTTGTTTGGGTGATTCTGATCATTTGTTACTTTGTAGGCAGTAATTAAATCCCCCTTAGGCGACGGTAACTGAGTGTGAATAGGCCTAATTTCTTCAGCCTTTCATTAAATGGTGTGTTTCGGAGACCAACCACTCCTTTTGTTGCCCATCGTTGGATTCTTTCCAAGAGGTTGGCGTCTCTTCTAAGCAGTGAGGGTGCAATAATATTATGCACTTCAAGGTGCGGTCTGACGTATGTTTTTTACAACCTTAGAAAGAGCTCAGGAGTGAGTGCACCTAATTGTCTATGTGTAAAGTGTATGACCGCATATGCCCTCGCTACATTCCCCGTGTAATTTACGCTTGTTTCCATTTTTCTGTTAGAACTAGACCTAAGTCGCGTTCCAACGTTGTGCAGGACAAGCTTTCATTGCACAGGGTGTAACTTGCGTTCTGAAGTCTACAGGTGCGTAACTTCACTACTTTGCACTTTTTCAGGTTGAAAGTCATGCCACTGGCCACCGCCCAGTCTTCCAGAAGGTTTAGATCTTCCTGCAGCCTATCTGACTCCATATCTTCACATCTTTAGTGTATAGAAGAGTCAGACAGCTTAGACGGCATAGTAGATCATTGGTAAAAGTCAAAACACCAGTGGTCCTATGATAGAACCTTGCGACACTCCTGATGACGAGTTGTGCCAAGATGATTGGACTCGATTGACCTTAGTGCAAAATTGTCTTTTAGCTAGGTAGTCCTTCAACCATGACAGAAGTGGCTCACGTATACCTGCCTGGCTAAATTTGTGTAGGAGAAGGTCATGGTGTCAAATGCCTTCTCAAAGTCTAGGAAGACCACATGGACTGGAACATTCATATCCCAGCATGATGTCCAATCGTCCCAAGCTGATAGTAGCTTTGGTACACAGGATCTGCCTTTCCTGAAACTGTGCTGGGCTTCATGTAGTATATTAGACCTATCAAGATATTCCCTGATGTGATTGTCAATAATACTTTCCAGTACTTTTGATACCACTGGGAGGAGAGCTACTGCCCGATATCTATGGTCAGCCTGAATTTGGGCTACCGATATCCATGCTGAAAATTCCACACTTGTACTGAAAATACGGTGTGGAATCAAGCTGTAAATCAAAATAAATAAAATAAAAATAAATAACTAGTGGCATTTTGCCTATCCCCAACCTTGCAGATCGGAGAAAGGATGGCTCTTTTCCACTCCCTTGCAGAAGACTCTGCAAGGTCCTCCCCAGCTGTGGGGATCGTTTCTTAGTTGGGTGATAGTCGTGTGAATAATACGTTTCACCGCTTCCCTATGTTCCTCTTCGGATAACTCAGACCAGTCCACGGGCCATTAGGCATCGAACAGTAGTCTTCGCATTCCGGTATTGTCGGCTTTCCTATAGCACAGAAAAGGCCGCGTAGCAACCCACTTTAAACACTCCCGAAGAACGAGATTACGCCCTATGATTGCGTGGTTACTGATACCTAACACTATTAATTCAGATTACGGTAGAGAGAGATTAAAATAATGATAGGCTAGGATTAGGTCAGTTCTAGGTTCACGGTTTAGTAGTGGATCCAGATTTATCTTTCAATGTAATTAATCGGTTCGTTTTCTTTAAAGCGCTTTTTCCCTCGGGATTGCCACCCTTTTAATTTGCCTTTTCATCGTCATTTTATCTATGAGTCTGTGGAGCATATCAAAATTACACCTTTACTCCAACCATAAGTTGTTGACTTTTTATCATACTAATAACAATATATATTCTCATTTTGTGCACGCGGGAGACGCCAGTTTACAGGCATCATCAAATTGTTACAGAAATAGAACCATATAATTCAATCACAATTTACAGGCAGTAGCAAGATATGCTCTACATGTTCACTGGAGATTATACATACACTTGATAAATGTTAATCCCAGTAGTATAAAACAGCCTTTTCATTTATATACAATCATTTCTGTGCAGAGTTGGAAAAATCTGCTAGATTGTCAGTGAGTGCAACACAACAGGAAATACAGGAGTATTGTCTTCGCATTAACAAAAAACCAGGTCTTTGGTGGATGGATTATAAGTGCCTGGGAAAAAAATAAAGCTTGAAGTAAATATTCATACATAACTTTGTTGTGTGCAGAGTCCTCGAATTATAGTTCATTGATGTGTTATTTTGAAATCAGTGATATCTTTATCTCATTTGATCTTCAATGTCATTGTTGGGAGTAAATACATAAGCTTCGGACGCATTAATTAATGGATTTCTACTGCTTACGGGTATTTTCTTAGCGTGAGGAAGGTTTATGAATTTCAACTATTCCGACAGGAGTTGAGAATATTAACTGCTCAGCAACATTATGGATATAAGTTCATCACATTATCTAAGGAAAGGTGGGTTGCAGTTGGTGAGGGATATATGGTGCCCAACGAGCGTTCATCTGTCCTTGTGATGTTGTGGTGAGTTATACCTTTTTCATGAAGTAAGTATATTTGCATTTATTCACTTACTCAGAATATACGTAAGAAAAGTTGGTGGAATAATGTTACTGAGCTTATTTTACGTTGGCAAAATCAATTTACATGATATCATCCTAAACTGAAGGCTATGTTATATGTGGTGGGTATGATAGGGTATTCACAAAAGTGTGAACATGGCTTGTAAAACGTCAGTCAGTTTACCGAAAATAATATTTTCAGCAACACCATCTGCGAGAGGCTCACCACAGCAGCTAATGTCCACTTAAACAGCAACAGGTGAACTTAATAATTAATTTCGGTAAGGAACGACAGTGATTGCCAACTAATCCATACAAAGTGGTAAACGAAGCATACAGGAGCAGAATATTACAATTGAATGACCTACTGAGATCCAAAATGCAACAACCAAAATATTTTCATTATTTCATGGATATCGTGGTGTGGTGAGAGCCGTCTGCTAGTTAAAATTGGCAGACAGTAATTTACGTCGATGTTTACGTCCCAAATATTGGTCATGTGAAAAACAAGAACAAAGAATGAGTCAACAACCAATCACAGAAGACTTTGCGTAGGCGGATACAATTAGCAAATAGATGACCTGAACCTCAGGAAACAGCTACAAAGGGATGAAAGATTAACTTTCAGTGAGAAACAGCCAATCAGAAGACTGCGTTTTCTGCTAACAATAATCTGTAATAACGTCCATGAAAATATATAAATACGTGTTGATTTCCTTAATAAATGATCTGTTGCCTGGCTCTCGCCTTCTGTCGTTACAGTTAATGTAGCTGCCTCCGAACAATGAAGATGCCATGGCTAACTGCGTTTGAAGAAGGAGACATACGGAGCTTCTTACGTGACTTCGAGGCCGTTGCCTAGTTGGTGGGGGTCAAGGAGCAGGCGGCGAAGGCGGTGATGCTGGAAACGCTGTTCAGAGGCCGAGAGACGGCGGTATTCGAGAGCATAGAGAGGTCAGATGGCATAGAGCCTTGGAAGACATTGGTTGAACGATTGGTGTCGTAGTTCGACAGCGCACCAGACAGCTATCAGTGCGGCAGTTTCATTCAACGAAGGTAGGACTTCATGGAAACCAGTAAGTGTTGACGGTAAAACTGACGAATCTACCTCGACGTGCGTTTCCAACGTTGGATGAGGAATCAGAGGCTCAGTTAATGACTTCGCAGTTCATTTTTTCATTTTTGATTAGAGCTTGATTTCACACCGTATTTTTTGGTACAGATATGGAATTTTCAGCATATGATAGCGGTAGCCCAAATTCTGCAGGCCGACCATAGACATCAGGCGTGCGTCGGCAGGGGATCGAACCTCGGACCATGAGCATGGTCGGCGAGATTCCTAATCACCGTGCCACTGACGCACATCGAGAGTTTCCCAGACTACATTTCTCAGCAATTACAACTGGTTAATGCTGTGCAACCGATGTATATTGGTGAGCTGGCGAAGATGACCAGACAGCTGCTGAGCACAACCTTTTCCGCTATAGAGCAACCAAAACCAAACGAATACGAGAAGAAAACGGAAGCGTTGCAGCGGGAAGTGGCGGCGTCAAAGTCGTGTGACAGGAATGACCGATGTTTTTAATGTGGTAAGCCGGGACACTGGGGGAGATACTACCCAGAAAGGCGGAAAAGAAAAGGTTTCAGACGGTATAATACGTGTTCTTCCTCTCTTATAAAACTAGATGTAGTGGGGTCTACTGAGAAAGGGGCTATGTGTTCGAAGTTGCGAGTGAATGATCAAGAAGTAGTATGTTTAGTAGATACGGGAAC